TCAGTGCTCAATCCCTCTCACCCAGCCAGTGGGGGATGGAGAGAGGGGTATTGAGCATATAACGATGGGCGACTTGCAGATGCTCGTATATGTGCAGAACTGACATTTTCATCCGAGCGGTCGGTTCACCGACCAACATCGGATATCGCCTCTTCAGGGACCTCGTCCCAATCAGGAGAAAGGTAAAGGTAAGGATCGAAGAACCGCAGACCGACCTGCCAGCGCATTTGCGGCGCTCAATAGCGTCAAGCGGGAAAGGAGAAGGAATGAATGGGTAAGAGCGAGACGACAACACCGAGCGGCCCTGGGAAACCAAGTCCAGCAAGCTGTTGATCTTGGCTCAGCGGACGGCGCCACGCGAGTCGCGACGCACCGCCCATCGCAGCCTAGGCAACGGCCTCTCGGGTCTGTCTGTTACTGTCGTGCCTAGCTTGTTTCTGCCATGGTCTGACGGCTTTCACGAACAACCTTCTTTCTCTTCAAGCTTGTTCTTCCTTCTCTTAGCTCTTCCAGAGTACGCAGTACAAGGAAAGGCCCCTTTTGCCCTGGCGATCTAGCTCCGTCTTTCTGTTTTGGCGCCGTGTACCAACACAAGAAGCTTAAACGTTCACCATCCAATCCCACACCGTCGTTCTTGGCATGGCGTTTCCCATTGTGTCTAGTGCCATGCGATACGAGAGGTCAACGCCCCCTGTCACCGGCGAGTCTGCGCACCGTGACACGGCCGGTGGACGCGGGGACCACGGACTTACACCTCGGGGTGGGGCGCACCGCATCTGTACTTGTAGATGCTTTTTCCATATGCCACATGTATGTGAGTCTATTGTTAGAGCCGGCTTAGCGTGCATTACAGCTCCGGTGCATGGGTGGGTGTCCTTATTCCAGTCCTCTGGTTCCCTCCCCTGTGCCGTCAGACCGACCACCTTTTCGGCGAATGATTATCGAGGAATATCTGCTGATGCCGGTGGCGGACGGTGCGGTGGTGATCACTGATGGGCCGTCCGAGGCCCAAGGCTAGGCCTAAGAAATGCTAGGCATCGCGTTTCTTGTTCCTTCGTTGTCCCGTCTTCAAGTCCGGGGTGGCATGCTTTTCTGTTCCCTCGATCCTCCTCCCAAAGGGCTGAGTATCACACGCCACAGGACCAAGCTGGCACAGCAGCGCAGGCGTCTGGAGAGTTGACGACAGGTACCCGGGATCCGAGGCATCGAGCTACTCGTGTCGTGAGATCTGACTAGAGGTTGTCGGTATCTGTTTAGACTCTCACACCAGAGGGCTTGTCCCGAAGGAGCCATGCACGCTAAGAAGGCGAGCCCTCTTTTGGAGAGAGTAAACGTCCGGGAGCCTCATGGAAGAAAGCTGGACAAGCCTAGTTCTGGCAGACCATGCTATGATGAATGGCTCCTTGCCAAGAAACGAACGAAGATGATATAAGGCCATGATGTCCGGCTTCCATCTCCAGCATCATCTCCTCTCCATCAAGTCATTTCCTCTCTATCCCTTTCCCTTCTTTCCAACGACCGTTAGTGTCATTGTCATTCGCTATTTCAACTTCAATTCCATTCTCTAATTCAGCACATTCGCTTCCGTCGATATCCAAGAAACTTTCATCATCATCATCATCATGCATCTCACATCCGTCCTCGCCACCTCCCTAGCCCTAGTGTCTCTCCCAGGGACCATGGGCTACCCAGGCATGGGCGAGCAAATGGCCGAAATCATGGCCCGCAAAAGCGACGCCGGCGACTCCAACGAGCTCCTCGGTGACCTCGTCACCCTCAAAGACAAGGACCTCACCCCCGTCGGCAAGGACATCAAGAGGATGCTTCAGGGCAAAGGCGACCCAGAGTCCAACGACAGATACAGCAAGGTCCCCGACCTGACTTCGGACAAGTGCAAAAAGGATACCTGCTGCGTCTGGCGCTACGTAGCCGACGACATGTACCAGTTCATGGCCGGCAAGTCGGGCCGCTGCACGGGTCTGGCCCGCGCCGCCGTCCGCCTCGGCTTCCACGACGCCGGAACGTGGTCCAAGGCTACGGCGTCACAGGGTGGGGGCGCTGATGGCAGTATCCTTCTTGCCCCTGGAGAGATTGACCGCTTCGAGAACCGCGGTCTGCAGGATGTTGCTGTCAAGTTCAAGGAGTTATACGGCAAGTATAAGGGCATGGGCTGGGACATTGGCATGGGCGACTTCATCCAGGTACGTTCCCAGACACTGATCAACAACATACTTCCTTACTGTGAAGCAGATCATTGCTAACCAAGCATACAAATAGATGGGTGCAAATGTCGCAACAGTAGTCTGCCCTCTCGGCCCGCGCATCAAGTCCTACGTCGGCCGCAAGGACAGCGCCAACGGCTCCCCCGACGGCCTCCTCCCGAGCCCCTTCCAGCCGGCCGACCAGCTCATCCAGCTCTTCCGCGACAAGACCATCGGCCCGCACGGTCTCGTCGCCCTGCTCGGCGCGCACACCACCAGTCAGCAGAACTTTGTCAACACCACCCGCGCTGGTGACCCCCAGGACAGCACACCCGGCGTGTGGGACGTGCTCTACTACAAGGAGACGCTCAGCTCCAACTCGCCGCCTCGCGTGTTCAAGTTCCCCAGCGACATTGCCATCTCCCAGCACCCCGAGACGGCCAAGGAGTTCAAGGAGTTTGCTGGCCCCGGCGGACAGCACCACTGGAACGAGGTACGATGATCTCCCCCTGTAACTTGTGCGCTAGAAGTAGGGTATTAACATGGCTTGCCTGATAGGACTACGCTCGTGAATACATCCGCCTCTCTCTTCTGGGAGTCAACAATATCAACCAGCTCACCGAGTGCACCAAGGTCCTGCCCCCTGCTGTGAACGGCTTCCGCGCCGTCGATCAGTACAAGCTCGACAAGTGGCTCAACAGCGTCGGCAACAAGGGTTCTGCTAAGAAGGTTGCCGAGGATATCGAGAAGGGCGACCCCGCCTCCGTTGAGGTTCCTCCTGTCAACAACCGTAACTAAATCTTTGTGGCTTGTCTTTAAAGTAATGGCGTTGGTATAGATCTGGCTTGGAAGATTAATGAGGGCGTTGCATATTACCAGATTCGGAGTTACGGTACCAGGTCCTTGTTGACCATTCGTATAAATTAAGCGTCCAATGACCTCATATGTCATATAATACTTCAAACTCGATAGTAACTACGATACAGTCTTTTTCATACGATGTGGATATGTTTGATAGCAAAACTACAATGTCGAGAATGTGCGTCGGCCACTGACTCGGATCACGGCATGCCTGGAAAGCTTATTCCTTGAGCGACTCGTGGCAAAGCAGTGACCACGGTGTATATATTTGCCGGCTGGATGAGGCGTCAGATAGAATCAAGCTTTTGGAAAGACAAATGAGTAAGGAGAATCTGAATTATTGTCCAAAAAGTTGTGGTCCTGGATGTTGAAAATTCTCTTCTCAGCTACGTGTCGACAGGCCCTGGTGGTTCTTCGGACCTGACAGTGTTCGGACCGAGAACAAGCTGGACCCTTGAGTGTACTGTGTGCCATCGACGTTATTTTAAACTTCAGCGCTGTCCTCAAGTGACCTCTCGTCCCGCCTAACTAGCCTTTGACTGAACAACATCTTCCTTAGACCTCAACGTCGCATAGGATACAATTCCCATGGTACATCAATCCTAGAGATCGTCACACCCAGCCCATTTGTTCTTCTATCACCATCGAAAAAATGGATTATCGCCTGGTCCTCTTTCTCTACCGCAAAAAGGATATCACACACGCTGAGTTCAGAGATCACTACGAGTACATACACATACCCCTCACCCGAGAACTCACCGGATCCCGTTTCCCCTCCCTGCACTCGAGACGGTACATTGAACGATCGCCAAAGGACGAGCCAACTGTCCTCATCGGGAAAAGCACCGGAGAGGAGCCTGACGCAGTGGTAGAAATTGGGTTCAAGAATGAGGAGGCGGCGCAAGCGTTTTTCGATGTGACCAACTCTGGGGAGGTCGAGGAGAGGTTGCGGAAGGATAATGCGCAATTTCTGGACTGGGATAGGCTGAAGATTATGAGGATCGGGGACGTTTTTGAGACGCGTAGGGAGGACTAAGGCGAATAAAGTCCATCCATGTGAGGACGTTGTACTTTTTATGAGGTCACAAATCATAAATGGATGATGTCGGCAATTTGTTCGGCCGCTTATGGCGACGCAGCTACTGGATCCTCCGCAACAGCTCCATTAATCCTATTCTTGTCGCCTCTTTTTTTTCTAAAGAGGTTTTAGTTCCGAGACTGGGGGAACAGCCTTGACTTGACTACTTCTGCTGAACGTCTCTGCAATACGATGGATTGAGTGTACAAAAATACGCGTATTTCGTTAAGCCTCACCATAGCCTAGTGCCGAGTTCTACATATAACGCGCGCACGTGGGTAATTTTCTATATATGAAGACATTCCGAAGCTCATTCTATCGATATTCGATATCAGGAAATATTTCTTTCTCTCTATGTGTTTCGGACGTTGGCAATGGTTCGTGAAGTGCTCTTCTAGAAATACGCGTAAATTCGCAGGCTTGGCGTGGGGCGTTCTTGGATCCTGAAGGATTGCGTCTAGACCCTGTAGTACTACAGGCTTCAAGAAAAGCTAGCTTGGCATCATAGTCGTAGAAAGAGCCTACGATGAGTAAACTACACGTTAGTCCGCAGACTAGATGATGCACGTAAGCTTTAATAGTCTTCAGTTCTCTTGATCTGCACAAAGCCTCAAGCCTATGTAGCCTAAATGCACGTGGCAGTAAGAGCTAGTTGTGAGCTAGTAACAAAATTACGCGTAAAAATGCCCTTCTACACATAACTTGAATATGATGCTTGTCGAGGTATTTCGAAAGCATCAAAGCATATCTTTCCTCTAAGGCTACTCATAGCGCCAATATATCATCACGGCCTTTTGAGCGATTAGCTCACCAGTCCAGGGCGCAGATCCCAACTTGCTAGATGGCTGTGCAAGCTCACGATGATCCTCCTCCATAACATTGTAGGTGGCAATATCAATTTCGGATTGACACAAGACTAATAGAATCGTCATAAATAGAAAGCATTCTCCCGTAAGTTGGGACAAGAAAGCCTTCATGCAACTTACAGCAAACTTCACTCCACCTTAATCAAACCTCTTATACCAGAAGCTCTCGAACTCATCATGATGCTTTCTCACCTATCCCTATCGTCAGCAGGCATTGCGACTGCCACACTGCTACTGCTGTTTAGCGGTGCGCAAGGGCAACAAATGATGGCGAATAACGGCACCCAAGGCCCCTCTGGCTTCCCTGCAGTCCGCAACCCTTCCCCAAGTAAAGCACCCCGATCATCCTCGACTAATCTGTGTTTAGTGTGACGCCCTCGTGGCCGCCAACTTATCCCACGTCATTCACTTTCCGTCTTCTCCCCTCTACCAAACCCTCGTTCAGAACGGCTCTTACGCTATCTCCACCCGAAAACAGCCTTGGTGCTTCGTTCTTCCGAGCACCGCCGCTGAGGTCTCCAAAACTCTTACCGCTCTTCAATCCGCCGGTGATGGTGCCGGAGACTGGCATGTGGCCATCCGCAGCGGCGGACACGGGGGTGATAATCAGAACAACATTGTCGACGGTGTGACCATCGACTTGACCCACCTCAACACCACCACGTACGACGCAGCTACCAACGTCGCACACGTCGGGACCGGGGCGAGATGGGGTGCTGTGTACGCCGCGTTAGAAAAGGACGAAGTCTTAGTGACGGGCGGAAGAGAATCTGTCGTAGGCGTGGGTGGACTTCTTCTCGGCGGTGGCATCTCGTGGTACACGGGGCGTACGGGCTTCGCCTGTGACAGTGTCGTCAACTACGAGGTGGTCCTAGCGAGCGGGGAGATCGTCAATGCCAACGCGTCGGCTAATTCGGACCTATGGCGGGCTCTGAAGGGAGGCAGCAGCAACTTCGGTATCGTCACTCGCTTCGATCTCGCAGCGTTTCCGGCTGAGAACTTGCACATGGAGACGAAGACCTTTAGCCGAGAGCACGCCGGTGAGCTCGTGGATGCGGTTGCTCGTTTCGCCGATTTGGACCGGTCGTTCCAGGACAATGCGGTGCTCCTTGTCGTCACTTACGATCCAGAAACCGAAGCCAGCATTTGGAGGGCGACTAAGGTCAACACCATGAACAAGGCCAACAGTACAGCATTCGACGCCTTCGACCGCATCCCGACGTCAGCACCGACTATGGAGAAGTCGGTGACGCTTGTCGAGGCTGCTAACAGTACCGCGCTGTCCGGCAAGAATCGGTGAGTTGAATGATCAGGATACGTCTAGTCACATTGATACGAATTCAAGATTTGCTGATGATTTTCCTCCTAGAAACGCTGGAGCTGGGGCTTTGACCGCAGTTAACGATCCAAGAGTCCTGCGGTACTGCATCGAACAGCATGAGGGCCTCGTCGCAGACATGAAGGCTCTCCTCGGACCAAAGAACTTTACCACGATTCTCGACTTCCAGCCAATCCCGTCATACTTTGCCGATATTGGCGTGCAGAAGGGGGGCAACATGCTCGGACTCGAGCGAGACTCGCGCAACAAGGTTCTTTTCGTCATGGGAGTGACTCTACTAGGATCAAACAGCGAAGAGCTCTTCCCGCGGGTTTATCAGCACGTTGCAGCCGCAAACAAGAGAATTGAAGACTTCTCAAAGTCAGTTGGTAGCGACACTGAGCTCAGATACCTTCCCTATGCGGACTCTAGGCAAGATGCAATTGGAAGTTACGGAAAAGCCAATGTGGAGCACATCCGAAAAGTTGCGGAGGAGTATGACCCCGAGGGCTTCTTCCAGTACAGGGTTCCAGGCGGCTTCAAGATCAGCCGAGTTTGAATGGAATTCTGACATCACGTTAAGGCGCAAAGAGATAGACCGGTTCGCGTATATGATTCTTTGTATTCTTTTGTTGCTTTTTCGATTATTACATAGATAGATTTGTGCTCTAAGATGGAACAGTTCGCTCATATAAATCAAGTGTGTGAAAAGCAGCGCACTTTGTGCTATGACCACCGACCAAAAACCCATGCGTGACTGGCTCGCGAATTATTATGTATGATTCAGTCGAATCTGTAAGAGTCTGTCATTCTGGTCGGGCCAAACTCGGGAGACATTTGCATCCCGTCGTTGTACCACACCTGACCTCTCGGCCACTCCGCCTCCTGAATATTCTGGGCATGGCGTGGTATAATAGCTGGAGGGAAGCCGACCATGGAAGGCGCGTGATCTTGCGCAAGCAGGTATCCAGTCCCGTTGCCGACCTCTGCGTTGCCAGCCAAGACCGCCGGACTCCAAGGTACATTTGCTGGATGTGGGTTGCACCCGCAGGTTGAGTACTGGGGAGACGGATAGAAGTTCCAGGAGGGATTTGGCCGTTGATATACGACATCCTCATTGCAGCTCGAGTAGAGAGGGTCCTGATAGAAGCCCTGTGGCTCTTCGTACTCGTATTCCGGTTGGATGGTCGGGAATGCCAATTGCTCACTGGCTTGGCTCTCGTAAAACAGCTCATTCGATTTATTGAGCTGGCGTGTCGTGTGATGCATGTAGTCAGGGGAAGATTGACGGTCCGCTATCGTTTGCGTGGGGCTCGTCGTATCGTTATTAACATGCTCTGGCATTGAAATCGGACTCGTCATGGGGCTGTCGTCTTTCGAAGTGTTGGTAAGTTCCTCCAAAGACGCGTCGGATTCCTCCCCGGACGTCGAATCGTGGTAGATCTTGTGATGTTGAATCAAAGCCACCTTGCGACAGAAACTGATTCTCTATTAGCTGGAGTCCATATGGTTGCGGAAGTCGAAGGTTATTACTCACCTCTTACGACAGGTTTCAACAGCGCATGTATACGGACGCTTGCCTAAATGCACCCGACGATGACGCGAGAAACTCGACGACTTGAGATTGTTAGAGTCAAAATTCCATTCTTGATTATGTCAAAGATTCACTCACATCTGCGAACCGTTTATAGCATCCAGGATATTGGCACTCGTATGGCTTTTCACCAGTGTGCGTACGGAGGTGTACAGTCAATGCACTTCTTTGGATGAAACTCCTCTCGCAGCCAGGTGCTGGGCATGGATACGGCCGCTCATTGGTATGGATTCGGAAATGTCTGATAAGGTCCGACTTGCGGTTGAATCCCTGTGGGAATACGTAGGTAAGTATAATACTCTTCAGAGATTGATAACCTTCTGGTCGCACTGAGGGTTCCGGGAAGCAATAGACATTACCTTCTCGCAGGTCTTCCAACTGCAGTAGAAGCGACGGAAGCGCTCCTTGTTGTTGACAAGTTCAGTGATTTCCATTTTCCTCGCGGGCAATGCCTCTGGGTTGCTGATGGTGAAGGTTGGCTGGCCAGTTAAACAGAGGGAGACACCTCTTTCGGGTTGATTGTTTCCGAGTTTCGGCTCCGACGGTTCGTCTAATAACGAACTAAGGTGAGTGGATGTTATAAGCGCGCATTGGCGAAGCCCATAACCTGGAGTTCTGTGATAGACTACACCGGTATGATGGAAGTGGAATCAAAGCGTACGTCGTTTGTTGAAGAAGTTGCGACTTGAAGATGCAGAGAGATGCGTAAACGGCAAGGTGACTTTTTAGCTTGGATTGGGGGCGTGTGTCTGTAAATGACACCGTCAAATAGAAAGATCAGGAAGGTAGCGGTCTGAAGGAGATTCGGCCTAGTAGCTGAATCGTATCCGTTGACACCCATACTTTAGAGAAGGGGCATCATCGCATCTTTTAGCGTGAAGCTTTCATTATGTAGGTGGAAAATCCTCGGTCAGGCTTGCAGGATGCCTTTCAGTGTCTAGACCAAAATAGTCGTGCCGCAGTGTAGCATCGTCGTTGGATCCTTGGGAGATGGTCCAAGCTCAGAGCGAAAACCCCCTGGACATCCAGGGCTGCTCAAGACAAAGCATTGGAGATCATTTCAGTTCTCGTCATTCCGGTGAAGGTGTGGCATGCAGCCCGACATCTGCGGGGGCTCCGTTGTTGCGAGTGGCGACGAAGCTTTCCCTTGCCCTGCGTTCAGATGTCGCCATTACGGATAGGAAACAGAGTATTACAAGTTTTCTGTGCCGTTTGATAAGGCATGGGCGTCGTGGGTCGCTGCATGGGATATCCAGAAGTTGACTGGGGATGTCTGGAAGCATGGGGTAATTTGTAGCGTACCCTACAGAACCTCATTAGAGTTTGGCCCAAGCTGGAAGCGGGGGCAGTCTGGATGTGCTTCGAGGATCTTGGCCCTTGGTTCCTAGTGATTGCATCCCTCGTGACCAATACGGACTGCACAAACCCTAGTCTAGCCGATGTGATCTACGGGCTTGGGTAGCAAGCATTTCCTCTCACAGTTTCATATTAGGGCTTAGTGTGAGAGGATGAAAAAGTGTCACAGTGTCTTCTGTCTCACAGAATCATTCGAGTTTTCGGTTCAGCACCAAAAACTAGTGAAGAGATCATCTGCAGTCCAGGACTCAGCTTTGCTTTTTCTGATCCGCCCAAAACCGCTGTTTTCCGCCAAAGGCTGCCTCTCTGCCTTCACCGTTTTGCCGACTACCTACCGCCATGCCCTTGGTATGACTTGCTGATGGGGCTGTCAAGAGAGTTTAGATGATTGACGGATCGCCATTCCTACGGGTGGCCCGGCCGGCGGATCCGCGTGTCTTGCTGCCCTAGGGGCCCAATTTCTCCCCTCTGATTTGTTCTTCCCATGGTAGTTCCATGGTAGATAACTGTTTGGTATCGACCGGTCTCGAATCTGTGCTCGTTATCAATCTTTAAACCAGACTAACTAGCTAAGACGTCTCATATCTCTTGAAAGCCGTGCCATATCCGTACTGGCGGTAAGTGGGATTCCACGGGACTTGTGGTGGTTCCCCCGGGATCGAGAGGCCGTGCCCAGAGATGTTCCGGCGACTGACGACAGTCCTTGCCCCGGATACAACTCGGAATCGGGATCGGGGGTGCGACGCGGAATGCCACGCAAGATGCGGATTTCAATTCCCTCTTCGAGAAAAGCTTGCGAACGAGGGCGGATCTCCGGGATCATCTGGGATATCTCCCGTCTTCTCCAATCAGCACTGAAACTTACAGATTTCGTTGCAGCCTGGGCTGCCGAGTGATTGAGGGTGGGATATCACTTCTCACTTTGGGGGATTCCTTGGGGGGTGCTGTTGGGTGCTGAAGATATGATAACTCTGTGGTATTATGCCAAAGCTACAGAGCTCAGGCCGGTGGGCCAAAATTCGAGATGATCCTCCACTAGCGAGCTAGTCAGGCCGTGAGACCCAGAGATGATGGCCCGGCAAGGATCTGTGGCAGCCTTCATCCCCAGCTCTTCCACTAGGCTTGTCACTCTCAAGTTTTCAGCAGACGCTAACTCCACGTTGGCGAGCGCGGGTGGGTTGAATCCCTGTCAAAGCCGGCATCAAGCAATTTCCCGGAAGGGCCCGGACGGGCCAAGGAGCATGCCTCCTCTGTGTAGGACGGCGACCATCGAGTGGTCGCCGTGTGATGCTTGGCTGCATGCCTCAACAGCATGTTGACTACTCCTTAAGTATGTGACTATTTGTTCAATCTGTCAGAAAAGGCGCAATGACGAAGAGCCTGGGCTGACATGGGGTTGGGATGGTTGAGATTTGAAGCAGGGAGATGCCTGCGAAACGGGACCATGAACGTAGATCATTCAGGCACCCCACGGGATGGGACTCGACCCGGAGGAACAGTCAACAAATGATATCCAGTATGGACCCCAGTCAAATTCTTGAAATATCGCCATTGCCGCTGCCGCTCCATCCTGCTCACCTCTCATCCGAACGCGGGAAAAACAATCGAAACACGCGGTGAAGACACAGCCACATTGGTCCCTTTTGTGTGCCTACGCGCGCTTTGACGTATGCAATCTTTTCTTTTTCCTCTCGTGATATCCTGCCCGTTATTCGCAAGAACCCAGTTACGAAAGCTGAAGCGAAACATTGTTCTTCAAGTGGGTTAATTGACAGGCACGGCAGGTCGGCGCCCATAGCGTTCATCACCCTTTTCGGTATGCTTAGTCGACTTCAAACTTCTCCACAGGGTCTTTTTTGCCACGCGAGACCTGCCAGAGTGACAGGTCAAGAATCAGAGGCTGCGTGGCCTAACCCCCGAATGATTGGACCCCCTGCCTCATTCTCGCACAGTTCGGGCACGGAACCGAATCAGCCGCAACCACGAGGCTCAGTCCCGAACTTCGCAAGCAGGGAAACATCTGTCTTAGTTTTAGCCTGCGCCGAGATTCGGTGGCAATTGCCGAGCTCTTGATAGCCCATCAAGAGCTCAGGGGTTCCATATTAATGCGCCTTCGACCTTTGACGTTGGGGATTGCCGATCGCGTAAAACTTCGTGGATACTGGGGAGGCGATTGGTTTTGCCCTGATTTGATGGCCAAGGAGAGAACCACACTCACTTGCAGGTCCATCGCAAAATCGCTAATTTTCCTCTTTTCGTAGAGGCCTCCTGCCGAGAGACGCTTTGATACAAGACGATGACAATGCCACGGAGTGGCCGACTTAACTGCGTCATTGAGGAGACTCGGAGTATTACAAACGTCTTTGAGATCAAACTCTCAATCTCAGGCAAAAATGGCCGAACTGTAAGAGCATACAAGCGAAATGGTAAAGATGTAAACAGGTGAGTGGAGCTGAGTTCCGTTTCTTAGCAGACACTGGAGGATGAGACAACTCCCTAAGCGCCGGGTACATTTGCCGCAGTCCACGTCATTGCAATTTATGTAATTGGGTAGAACAGCCTACTTGCCTTATGCCTGACCTCTGAAGCAAAGGCGGAAGGGACTGAGTTCTCAAGGGTAATATGAATTGAGAGTTCTCCTTGCCGTCAAGGTCTGTAATCTTGGATGGACGGGTGCCTAAACTTAATATGAATTTTTGTATGAGGGCAAGGCTACAAATACGTTGCATCCACGACAAGTGACATTTCTTTTGGAATGAGTTGAATATTTGTGGAACTTAGCAACGTTGCACTCTGGGAATCCATTCAAAGAAGCTGATTCGGTCCCTGTGACATCAAATAACAACACTCTCTTAGTCCAAAATAAAGCCGCGGAAATTGAACACTCTCAGAACACTACAGATCCCATGTCTTCGATCATCAAAAGACGACTACGGGCGCCTCCTTTTTCAGCTCAACATCGCTCTTGATATCCTTGTCAGATGGCGACGGTAGGCACTCTTCGATGTCCTCGTCCAACTTCGTGTCATCCAGCATCTCGGGGTTGAAACACCGAGAACCCTTGGGAATAAACGTCGATGCAAACACTGTGACCATGATGACAGTGAAGTGCACTCCTGCGGTATTCACCAGCGCCTCTCGCACTGATCCTGTTCGGTTGTACACGCCATCGATGTATCTTCCGAGAAAGGTGCCGGCAATCGCATATGTGACAATGTAGAAGGAATACAAGAACGCCATAACCGCCCCGAGAGGCGAAACCCTGTTCTCCTTGTCCTCTAGCCTGGCGAGAGAAGCCTGGATAAAAGCGGCCAGAGACACGTCTCCCGCGGCCCAACCGAACGAAACTGGCAAAAATGTGGCGGCGACGATCCAGGCCTGGCCGACCTGCCCCGAGGGCGGGTACCAATAGGGGATGTACCAAACAATGAGCAACATCAGGGCATCTAAGCGAAGCCACGGAATGGGCGTCTTGATCACGTTCGTGAACAGGAAGACGAACAGCGCACCCAGGAGTTCACCAAAATTAGAGCCGCCGACCATGATTTGTGACCATGCCGAGTTGCCCAGGTACCGTCGTGCCACTTGGGGTGCGATGCCATTTTCGAGATATCGGTGCCCATAAAGGGCTACACCGTATGCCGGGACCAGCCAGACGAATCTCGTCGAGGTGAACAGGATCTTGGCGCCGACCCATATGGACTCGAAGAAGAGGAGGAAGCCCTTGCTAATATTGATTAAGTAATTGCTTTTGCGGGCTTCAGCTCGCGCGAGGGCGTTGCGGTCGTGGCTGCCGTCCACGACAAAGAACCACAGAACTGCCGCGAGAGAGAAGCAGATTGGGGTGATGACGAAGGAGCGATTATTGCCGAGATTGGGAATGAGGACCAGCGCTGTGACGAAGGCCCCTGATGTACCGGCGACCTCGTAAAAAATGTGTACCAAACTGTCCATTTGACGAAGTTTCTGAACGTTCCCTCCGACGATATCTCGCGGGATAACGCGGCGGATGAGCTCAACCATGCCATACGCGATGCCCGTGACCGTGTAGATGGGTATAATGGCGTCGTTGTTGTAATCTCCGTAGTAAGACCATTCATCTTTGGGGTGCTTCTTTCGGTACGCTTCTGGAACAAAAGTACCCCCCGTCGCAGCATCGAGGATGAGCAGGATTGCCGTCATCAGACCAAAGAGGACGATGGCTGCTGAGAGAACATTCTTCGTCCGGTAGTGTTTGATGAGAGGTGCAATTAAGATGGAGCCGACACACTGCGTGGCTTGGTTCAGTCCCTGGAGGAGACCGAGTCGTTCAAAAGTGCGGGATGGCGTGCCCCTAGTGTCGCTTTCGTAGTCGTAACGGTTCGTGGCGAGCGCGGTGATTGACCCGTTAAACGCTTCAAGGCCGAACTTGTACAGCATGATACCGCAGATGTAGAAGAATATGGCTCTTCTTTCCTGTGGACTGAAAGACTTGAGCCTCTCGACGAAGCCTTTGAAGATGGCCATGGCGGGCTGAGAGCGTATATACGTTTCGATTTGCCTTGCTAGGTCGACAGTTGAAGCAGAGACACCTTACACTTGTATAAACGAAGCCCGGTATATCGTATCATAAGTGTCTAAAATGTCTCGATAAACATTCCACCCGGTCATTATATAGGGGATATTTGACGAGATAAAGCACTCGCGCAGGTAAACGAAGATGTCGAATAGCAAGCGCAAATCTCGTTCACGTGGGCCTGGTTGATGGACTACTTACCTTGCTGCCCATCATGGGTGGTGAATCTTGGCCATAGACCTCGAGATCGGCTGTTCTGAGGAAGGACCGAGGACTAGGTTTCTTCGGTTCATGGAGTGAGGGTCCTATTGGAGAACCTTGGCGTCTAGATTTAAACGAATATGGGGTAACGGTAGCGGCCGCACACCTCCACATTACTTATACCTCTAGTCGTGTACTCTCAAGGTCATACACACGTCTATGCGGAACATATCTTGAACATACGACTCTTTTTTGTTGTGAATAAGTACCTCGTACCTGCATATTGGGGGGCAACTAACCAATTGTTTATTATATCTGAAGGCCTCGAACGACCAGAGCGGATCATTTCACGCACGCTGATCAATCAAATATTTTGTTATATGGAGTTTTGAGATCAGAAGAATGGAGGCAGCGACTTTCATAGTGCCAAGAGGTTGGCTATGCCCCTCGCTTCTTGGTTGTTATCGACTCTCCGAGCCAAGGCAAAGCTCCGATAGCTCATTTGAAGCTGTTCTCGATAAAGAATGGTTCACGGTTTTCGGCCATGGATACGGCTTGGGCTCAAACCCAGTCTGGATCTCAACGTGGATAAGATCCAAGGTGATTGGGCGTGGCAAAGAGCATCGTCAAACTTGGATGGGAGGCTGTGCTCAACGTAGCAACGCGGCCGATTGACGATCGCTACAGCCAGATGGTGTAGCTGTCAACGACTCTGCTTGCTGTTGTGGTAATTCTCCAATATCTTGGCAGTGGTTGTGCTCTTGGCAGACGAGGGCGAGGACTGCGCCTTCTTATGCTTCCCAATGGGCTTGGCGGCCTGGAGGGTAAATAGCGCAGGCAAAGTTTGACAGATGAGAGCCAACCATTTAAACACATGGCCTGTCCTGCTTCTCTCTCTTCGATTGATTCGAGAAGCTGTTTCCAAGTTCTTGGTGCTGCACGTTAGACAATATCAATGCCGATGCCAGTCAAACTTTCTCGTGACGCTAAGATATCGGTTGCCTCCCTGCTTTGTCATCCATTATATTTCATCGGAGAGAATCGCTAGGACGGAGGACATACTCGATCAATCTCAACTTTTCAAAGAATCGCGTTCAATTCTTCCGACTCCGGCATACACGTCGCGCCTATACTGAGGAGTGTGTTTTAATAGGCCGGGCATGCTTGCAGAATCCTGCGGTGCGTGCCGGTATCCACAGCCACCGGATGGAGCGGCAGATGTGGGGCCGTTCGGTGTAATCCGCAGCTTCAACCTCCGGTATGCGTAGTTGCGGGCCTCATGGCAATAGAGACGCCAAGGGGGTTATCCAGCAACCAGGAGGACACATTCTCCAAGAAATTCCAACGAATGGTTCCTCATCAAGCTTTGGTGTCGTGGTACACTGCGTCAATTGACTTTCAGACTGGTGAGCTCGATTCAATAGAAATCCGCCGTAACATGGGAACGACTGGAACGCATAATATTTACGCAAGATGTACAAAAACAGGAGCTACCTGTGGCATTACGTAGGACCACCAATTCTTGTGAGCACACTCGTACTCGAACTCGCTACCCTTGCGGGAACCACTATGCAAAACCATCCATCACTAGACCATAGACACATTCAGACGGTGCTCATACCTTCCCTCCGAGTTCTCTGCCTCATAGCTTTTTGATGGAGGCGGTGGGCGCTATCCCTGTGTATTCCGTCGAGCTAGGGTGGTTGCCTTCGTGAATTGAGGACTACAACCTGACCTTGCCTAGATAGGATATGGGCAGCGAATATCACGCGAACAAATTGCCGGCCAAGAACTCGGGCAGGTATTTGAGCTGATACAGGCAAGAATGCCATGCTGTATAGACCAGAAGGGCGTGGCCACGTTAATCGTGATTTAAGTGCCGTAGAGGAGGTTCATTGTTCGGCTACAGACTGCTGGGTGAGGTCCAACATCAAGACACTAGATGGATGCTCAATGTGCTTTCTATATCTTGCGATTTAATGAGTCGGAACGACTGCTTATGAACAGCCTAGAGCCCGCATAACAGCTCAATGGGTACACATCAACGGCGCGAATCCATCCGTCCACTTCTCAGCACCCATGATAATGACCATGACCGCAAACCCCACCACAACACTACCCAGGCCGTATACGTAAGCATGTCGTCGCCGCAGCGCAGTCAGCTCAGCAACCCACGTCGAGACAGTCGTCAAGCACCCGCAGAACCCGTCCTCAACGCCCTGCAACACCTGGCACCCAACCACACCGCCCAGCCCCGCGTGCGCCAGGTCCCAACACATACCCAGCACGGCAACACCTGCAATATTAACCGCAAAGGTACCCATCGGAAACGCCGGCACCCTTACGTTGAGCAGCAGACTGGCGTAAAAGCGCGCGAGACAGCCGAGCGGCGCAAAGACGATGGAGAATACAACGCGCCCTCGCCAGGCGTCGTGCGGCGGCCAGACGGCGAGGAGGACCGCGCCGAGCCAAGCGCCCCAGCCGAAGAGGACAGCGCAGCGGTCCATTACTTTCCGGCCGAGGAGGTAAGGGATTGACGGGGTGATCCCTTCAAGCGCGATGGCGAGATGTGCACCGAAGATGAGGGCCGAGAGGCTTAGGGCGACAGTGGCGATGATGATGGCCATCATCGCCATGAAGGACTGCCCTCCGGCCCGCGGTTCGGGGGTCGCGCCACCTGCGCGAGGAAGATCGTTGACCATGGCGAGAAAGACGTCGCGGATGAAGGAGGAGAAGGAGGTAAAGGAGCCGCAGAAGCCTGTGGAGAGGCCAATGTAGAGCGGTATCGTCTTCTTGGTTGCGAGATGCGCCTTCTTCGCGGCCGCGAGATCGCTGGAGGCGGCGCCGTCGTCTGCCTGCTCTCCGCGGCGCCGGGCTTTGATGATCTCTCTGTGGTAGTTGGGCGTACCCCATTCCTGCTTGAAGAGCTTGCGGTCTTCGATCAGGAAGCCCATGGCTAGGCTGCCGCCGACGTTGGCCCACAGCACACCAAAGGAGACTGGGGCGCCGGGGTAGAGTGTCAGAGCCTGCAAGCCCAGACGGGCAATCGTGCCGAAAATGGCAAAGAAGACGAGGTATGAGAGTGTATACAACTCCGTGGCCAACCTAGAGACGTGTGCTGTAGGTTTCGAGGTTGTGGTTTCGGGCTCGTCTTGCTCGTCAGGCGTTGTTGTGGCTTGCATTTCGAGATCGGAGGGCCGCGGAGGCGATCGCATCTCCTCCAGGCTCTCGCCTCTTCCCGGACGATGCCGCCTGGGTTTATGCGCGACAGGGTCGGCGACCATCTCGTCGAGGTTGCCATAGTCTTCAGGCGCATCGTACCCGACCGATTGCCCGCTTTGTGTATTCTTGCTCTTTGTATGGGCCTGCCCACTGGTAGTACCCATCTGGGCGAGATCTTTCTCATCCGCGGCAGCACCGCTGGCGTGCCTTATTTCGTTTCCGCCTTGCATCACGAGTTCCGTCTCTAGATTTCGTCGTCGGCGCGTTTCGATTCATGACCGGAATTCGTGTAGTCTTGTTCGGTATTTAAATCGCGCGGGTCTCGATCATCAAAAGATTGCGGGATCGTGGAAATTCCGGGTAATCGGCAATATCGTCAACGGGAAAAGAAGGTTGATCAGTAGTCGCGTCAACAAAAGATGCCACAAAAACGCCTGCTGTAGCGGGAACGTCATCCCCAGATAACCTTGTCTTGGCGGCAGAGGCGGATATCTCGGTACTCCCGGTTTTGCTCACCACACACCGCTCACCGATGGCCCGAGCTCCTTGGTGGGGTCATCCTCACCGAGGAAAGGCGGAGTACACCGAGGCGGTGACATTCCAACTCGATAAGGTAAGTCAGTGCGAGGAGGGATGGAGGGGCCCAACATCCTGAGCTAAACAGCTTCAGGCAGGACGACAGGTTAAGGACAACAAGTCGGGAAGAAGATGTTACTAATAACTTGCCAGTTGCTATCCCCTATATCTCGTCACCCATGCATTGCCAGCTATCTTATGGAAAGGCTCCAACTAAAACATGCATGACGGCGAGCTCCGAACGCCTTGCCGGACGCCGGAGTTGACCTGGTGGCAGCCCCCAGTTGCTCCAAAAAAGGGCGGGCGTTGGGCGTCGGACCTTCAAGGGCTTATCTTATCCAGAGCTTCCCTCCGCATGCAGGACCCACTCAAGGTACCGGCGCTGATCAGGAGGACAAGGAAGGGACCCCTCCTCCTCCTACTGCCTGCTGGTCTCAGTGGCTCGCTCCGGCCTCCCCACCAACCTCTCTCGTCGATATCGACGGTAAACTCCCAATCCTCATTTTCCTTAAATTTGACAATTCCTCCTTTACTTTATTTCATCTGGTCACCGTTCAATGCTTCAGCGTATTCGTGTCTAATTCCATACTTACGTTTTTACATACCCCCATTTACACCATGTCTTCCTCAACACCCGAGCTCCCTGCCAACGTGCACGTCTCCCAGCACCCCTGTCTCCGGGCGAAGCTGTCCCAATTGCGGTCCCAGTCGACGCCGGCGAAAGAGGTGAAGACGCTGGTGCATGATATTGCGTTGATGGTAGCATACGAGGCCCTCGGCGCCTCCACAAAAGCGACAGATGGATCAAAGGTAATTATCCCTTCTTCCAAAGCTATTTCGTGTTACAATTAAGCACCAGGACTGACACTCCTCGCCCAGGATTCTACCCCGCTAGGATTCGACTTCACATCAACCACAATCTCCCCCTCCAGCCTCTGCCTCGTCCCCATTCTGCGATCAGGCCTCGGCATGGTAGAAGGTAATTACCCCTCCAACACCAGACATCTATTGTTCAACCTGAAGCCCAGAACTAACATATCAACAACAGCCGTCCAAACCATCCTCCCCACGCCCGTAGCAGTCCATCACCTAGGCCTCTACCGCGAACCCTCGACCCTCGAGCCCGTAGAATACTACAACAATCTCCCCAACCACGTTTCCCTCGACGGCTCCAACGCCGGCGCCTCCGAGCTCGCCATCGTCCTTGACCCCGTCATCGCCACCGGCGGCACCTGCGCCGCCGCCATCCAGACCCTCCGTGAGTGGGGCGTCAAGCGCATCGTCGTCCTCTCCGTCATTGGCGCCGCCGAGGGCGTCAAGCGCGCCGCGAGCGAGTGGGCCGACGCGACGGACATCTACATTGCTGGCGTGGACGCCGAGTTGACGGACAAGGGCATGCTAAAGCCCGGTGTAGGTGATGTTGGTGATCGGTTGTTCCTTACTATTGGAAAATAAATGAAAAAGGGGGCCGGATTGCTGCTACCTGAGACGGGTAGGATGACGGCGAGGGTGTGATTGGGCTTGCTCATCTAGCCTTGGATATCAAATCACCTCATAGATTGGTCATGAATGGCACCTCATAGAAAGGTTTCTGTATGCTGGGATTGGTACTAAAGTGTCATGTATCCTGGGTATAATAAGCAATTCATCCGCCGTCGGACCCAATACCGTCATTTCTCTCATACTCGCGTATATTTCTCCTCGTCCAGCAACGTCTTCTCTCGCCAGCAATCTTCAACCCATTCCGCAGTCACGAGGTGTGGAACCTTACGCCTATGACTGACTTCCTCCCGCATAGCGGCGGCCGCGTCTTTCCGCCGGATGCCGTCTCCTACCACAACCACGTGCGTAGTCTCCGTGTCTTCGGCATCGCTGATCAAGCGTGCGCCGCCAAAGGTCAGATAGTTCCCAAGCTTCAACATCTTGATCTCGTCCTCATCACATTCTTCTTGAACGTTGACCAGGTGAACAACGCAACGATGAAACATTGATCCCTTCATTGGGCCTACCCCGCGTCCACGCTCCTCAAGCTGATTGAGAAATTGCGTCTTGTTAAAAGGCTCCGTATCGGGTTCTTTCTTCGGCATCATATTGAGAACTTCGCGCAGCTCAACAAGACTGATGTCGCGGGCGTAGCTGTCCCCATACATATCCGTGTTCTGCAGTGCAACAGTTTTGAGAGCTTCCGTCGCATGCAATAAGTGTCGCTCTTCGTAGGGAAGCAGCAGTGATTCATCAGCCTGTTCGAGACAGTCTTGAATCCACTTTGGCCTAATGATGTCGACGCCGCTACCCTTTTGCCCCTCCTTGACCAGACTCGCTACCTTGACGACGTTCTTGTCCGCCAAGAGAATCATACCAGACTGCGGGACAGCCCGCTGCGAGACCTGGCCGCCGTTTTCCTTGATAAGGGTCTCGAGCTGTGCCTTGGTCTTCTTGAACGGCTTGAGCGACTCCGACAGGACGCAGAACTCGAGGCCCTCGAATGTCTTGGACTTATCTGCCTGGAACTGCGCAGGCATGTTCTCCGTCCCGGCGATGACGACCTCGCGTTTGACGCGCTTTACTGACTTGCGTTTGCGGTTCTCGACGCTCATGGTCTTTTCTTTGGCCTCTGCCTCCACGCGTCGCCGTAGGTCCAGGAACTCTTGCACGCTGAGGCCCTCGTCCCAGTTCTTGTCGGTTCTCAGCTTGCGGAAGCGGGGGAATCGCAGGGTGAAGCCGAGGGAGAACTGGTCCGAGTTGCCGATGCTCGCGGCCTTGGCCTCCACGACGACAGAGTCGCTGGGTCGGATCCAGACATCCGGCCTTTCGAACTGACGGTCGCCGCCGGCGAGCTCGATGTATTCCACGGGGGGCTTTTTCGGGTCCCACGTGGTCCATTTCCCGTCCGTCCGATGCCTGATCTCCGCATAGTCGGCAGCTGTGAAGCCGCCGCCGACTTTGAAGAAACTGAAGCATTTCTCGGGGTTTGCACCAGCGTGGATATGGTTTTCGCTAACACGCAGACCGCACAAGAAGCTGGAGATGGCGCCACCCCTGTGTCCGGAGCCGTAGTAGCCGCCAATAACGACACAATCCAACGACTCTCCGAACTCAGACATGTACTCCGGCTTGACTTTCAACCAGTCGTCATTACGGCTGTTGAGTCTGTACATTGACCTCGGATTCTTGAGGACCAAGCCCTCTGATGCCTCGGCGACGACCTTGCGGAGGAGCGGCTCGATGGCCTCGGGTGTCGTCGCAGACTCGTACTCGTGGATCTCCAGTCTCCTATGAACACCCTTCACAGCCTTTTCCAGGGCACGGTGACGATCCCGCAGCGTGTACTGGGTCAGAGGCTGATCGTTCAGTAGGAGGATGTCGAAGACGCGGTAAAGCGGTCGCGGCCCTGTGTTGTTGTAGGGGTTATTCTGCTCGGCTAGAGCGGCTGTTTTGAGGGTGCCGAACGGCATGATCTTGTCGACTTCCGGGTCCCAAGTAATCATCTCTCCATCTAGAATGGCGTTGCGGACTCCTTCGGAAAAAGCATTCGCCAGATGGCGAGTCACAGCTCCCTTCTCGTCTTTCAATCCGTTACCGTAGAGGTAGGTGTAATCTTTCGCCTTGCGAGACCAGAAGCAGAATCGCAGCCCTCCCGGAACGCTCGGGTCTTCGGCCATGTGCATCTGCATGCGCTCACCGTCTAACTTTTCCTCGATCCAGAACTCGGGATCCTCCTCTGTAGTCCGGAGGTATTCGACCATCTTCTGGAAGGAAGATGGCATCTGGAACTGTGCCAGCTGGGGCTGGAAACATTCCATAAGGGTGACACCCGTATCCTCCTGCTCCAGACGTATCCTCGGGTCAAAAAGCTCCCAGCAAACGCGTCGCAGACTCGACGACACGCTAAACAGGGCTTCGCCATCCGGATGCCACAGATCGAGAAAGGTCCGCTCGGTCGCGCCGACCTTCATCTGCTTGAGCACGATGCGGATCAACCACATAAGTTCTTCTGCATTCATGCGCTCGTAGAAGATTTCAAAGACCTCCAGGTTCTCCAGCTCTCCCGTCGACGCAGCGAGTTTATCCAGCAACTCATTGACCTCGGCAATCGTCATGTCGCCGACCTCTGTCCGCATCGGCCGCTTAGAGAGGACCTCGAAGCACCGGCCCGCAAAGTCGCCAGCCAGTCTAGAGAAGGTAGTCTGACCCGGCAACTTCCAGTGAAGGAGGTTGTGGCCGTCTTCCGAGTTCTTGTCGATCTTCATAAGCTTGACGAGGAGTTTGCCAATAGCATTCTCCTTCAAGCCGTAGACGCCGCGATCCCGATCCTTGTCGGGCAGAATGAGTCGCAAAGCCGGGTAGATGTCGTTTCCCACCTCGTTTCGCCATCTGGAAATAAAGCGCTCAATGAGGTGCCGTCTCTGTTCCTGCGGCGATAGCTTGTGTGGTCCGTGGGGTCCCTTTTTGCTGCGAGGTGGGCCGCGACCGACTGGTTGCTTCTTGTTCTCGTTCAAAGGATTGAAGAGGCTTTGGAAGAGTTCCGAAAAGCGCATCGTTTTTGAATGATTGCGTGGGCGATTTGGGTACCTGCAGGGCCGTGTCAGCTCCCAGGCCAAGGAAGGGTAGAAAGAAGACTCACTTCTCGTCCAATTCTTCGAGTGTGGTTCCTCCGATAGCATACTGCCTCTCTTCCTCATCAATCGCCGCCGCGTCTGGCGACTTTTGTCGCTTGCGCTGGCTCATGATGGGCAATTCACTGCGTGAACTGGCAAGAGAATTGGGAGCCGTTGGCGACGGAGAATTGGTGATGATTCAGTGGGAAAGTTTGCGTTGTAGATGTTATCAGGCGGAATTGAATATAACCAGTTGATTGTGCATGGAATAGCTGGGTGGCATCGCAACGGACCCCGTCACATTGAGGGCCTTGAGGACTTATACCCTTCAATTGCGGCTTACCTGAGGCCGTTGAAGTTCAACGGTGGAGCGGTTGCCTTGGGGATGCTGCCTGGAGGTGGATGCATCAGAGCGGGTGGTAGTGCGGGGCACTCGTCCAGTGAGAAACCTCGCCTAATTGCATCAAGAACATGCATCAGCAAAACAGGAAGACATCACTTTTGTTTTCTTCAACACGACCATCGGCATCGAATTCAGGGACACATGTTGATCAAGAGCGAGATATTAAGCGGGATCTCTACCTTTATTCTTGCTACTTCATGATATACGTCAATCATATCATCTCTCGTTCCATGATTATGTTAAGCGCATAGTTGACACTGCCATCAAAGGCAACGCCATGCGCTGAAGTCGGGTTGGGGCAAGCTTAGTGCTGGAGACGGCTGTTGACGGAAGAAGTGTCACTGACAGCCTTCTCGGCATCCCAGCGCTGCTGCATGGGCTCAGTGACAGCTTCCTTCTTGGCAGCCTTCTTGCGCCAGAAGAAGAATCCAGCAAGGGCGAGCAGAGAGACACCGGCAATGGAACCGACAGCGGCACCAGCGATGGCGCCCTTGGAGAGACCGGAGCTCTTGGATTCGCCGGTGGCGGTGAAGTCTGCGGCGGTGTGCGGGGTGTTGCCGCCCGAGTCGGTGGTGGTGACGTTGACGGTGGTGTCGACGTCGACGTCGGGGTCGCTGACGGTGGCGTTGAAGCAGGGGATGGAGGCGGCAAAGACCTCGACGAAGGTGACGTCGGCGCAGGCGTAGTAGGTCTCGCGCTTGGACTCGTCCTGGTCAAAGTTGGAGACGTAGAGCATGCGGTAGGTCGCGTTGGAACCGGCGGCGGTTCCTGATGGCGCGCTGGGGACCGTCACGCAGGTGTGGCCGAGGTCGAGGCTGCCGACCTCGCTGGGGCCGAGGAAGGTCTCGAAGTCGGAGACGGACTTGGGGTCTGTTTGTGTGGTGGATGTTAGGTATTTGTTTCCAAGGCGAAGGGTGGAAGAAAGAAGGGTGTTGTATTTGCACGTACCGTTCTCGTAGGAGACACTGAGGTGGACGGAGCGGGTAATGTCCTGGGTCACAAGGGCAAGCTTGCCATTCACTACGTTGGTTCGATGTTAGAGTCGTCCGAGTCTCCGCAGGATATGTCGACTTACTGAGAGGGAACTCGGTGCGGACACCGGGACCGTTGGTGGATCCGCAAGGGGCCGTGTTGTCGGCGTCGGCAGACCACTCACGGTCTGGGGGCCTGATGGTATTCTGGTTAGCTGCCGATCTTCGTTGAAGCCTGCAAGATGCAGTGGAGAAGGTATGCTTACCAGAGGAAAGCGGCCGGGCCCATGTTGTCGGCGCCCATGACGTTGCCCAGCAGCATGCTGCCGAACAAAGTGACTGACTTGGCAGAGACCATCTTGAAGGTGATGAGAACCTTCTGGAAATGAAGCTCAACTTGACGAGTTGTCTGAGAAGGGGGAGGTCTGGTCTCAGAGAGCAAGGCTCGAGGCTCGAGGCTCGAAGGATCACAAGGTTTGCGAAGAAACTTGTGATGGGGGAGTGACTTGGGAGAGAGAAAAGAAAAGAACTCAAGTAGCGGGATATGCGGCCCTCAATATATGCCTGCGCCAATTCTTGTTTCTCGCTCTTTGTGATCTTCTACTACGGATCTAACCCAACACCTGGGCGCCGAGCCCCAGCCAACCGCTTTTCATGCCGAGGAGAATCAAAACACCAAAAAACGTAAGGTAACGGCCAGCCGGCGGGCTCATCCGCCAAGGTCGCGCTGAGCCGACGAAACCGGGTGCCAACAACCCTGGCATTTTGATCGCGACGATGTGCCCTGGTCCATGGCGTGCGGTGTGCCTGGCTGTAGCGGCCCACAGCTCGTGTGGTTGGCCCACCCGAGAGAGTTATCTGATGGGATCGCACTGGGCCCAAGGCGCTCAGAAGCCCCGCAACGTTGTTTGGACTTTGTTCCTCTCTGGGTTATTTAGTTGGTTGGAACCTGGCAAAGAGACTCAAAAGTTCGCCAGGGGCGGAAAGATGGGTGAGCGTGGGCCAGGTCGGGTGTAGATGGCTCCACTACGAGCGGACATGGCTTCATATTATCTGATCATCTGATAAGATGGGCGCCCATCTCCTCATTGGCCAAATACATCCTCTCTGCATCACTAGTGCCCTCTCGGCGCCGTGGGACCGGCATCCACTTCCAGAACGACCAACGGGCACTAAGGGCCCAGCGTCTCTATCGCTGGGTAAGGTGCCACGGTGCTAGCTGGGTTTTCGTTCCCTCGGCGGCTCTCGTATTTGCCCCGGCTTCTTGACAACGGCAAAATCTTTTCAGTGTGTGAGTATCACTGATGGGTGTCGTGAAAGAGGCAACGGTTGTCCGCACGAGGTGGCAGCCCGTCTAGGGTGGTCGGTCTTGGCGATCACCCGCTTTCGAGGAACCGGGTTACAGACGAACGAATCCGAGTTCGTCCAAGAATTAAACTCGGCCTCCGAAGGCCCCATCGCCGCAACGTCGGCGATAGCCCGGTGGCACGAGACCCTGCCTTTCTCCACGACTGTCTAACAGATTCTCAGCGAGACCGGAAATTGGGCAGACCATTTTCGTTGTCTGGCTGGTCTGTGAGACTGGGACCGTTAGTCAAACAACTCTGAAGAGCGGGCTGGATCGCGTTCGGTTCTGGCTTTCCGGATTCTCCCCAGTTTTCTGATGGACACGATGCAGTATCCGTACCTGAACGGTTACTTTGGCTCGTTCCCGCGGAGGATCGGCGCGGGTTTACGATTTGTGAGTTCGGTTGGCATGTGAATTGTTCGTTCGGTCTTTGAACGATTACTTCCACAAAGCCGCCGTGTCAACTTGCTCGGCTGCGGTGAAGTTTCAATCAGAGCACAGCAAATCCTGTTACAGAGTACATTCACAGTCCGGAAATCGGGCAAGCCGGAGCCTCGCGAAAAATTGGAATTTTCCAACCGTAGCCTACTTTTCTTCCTACAAATTCGAATTCTCATTGATGGAGATGGGTGGCAACAGCTTCGGCGCGCCGCGCAAAGAACCAGCGTGATCCGACACCATCCGGCGGGATATCCGGAGTCAAGTACTCACAACCCATCCAGCTCCGCTCCAGCAATATCGATAGTCCCTCCCTAGCCGTTCTTCATCGTACCCTAAAAGTCTTGTCAGCCATCACGCCCTTGAAAATTCCGCCACCGCCCCGCCTCAGTCTCGACTCCTAGGGCTGCCGGACTTGCGACTGTGCTGTCGTTCACATCCAGAGAACCCCCATGAGGTGACTTGGCCCGATGCCGAGCAAACGGCTGGTACTTAAATGGTGGGATGGGCCATTGTCCGCTCTGAATCAGGCGTCTTGTGTGGCCGGATTCTCGGGCCAATGCCCTGGTTCAGTAGCCCATGCTGTCTGCCACGACCGTGGCAAGCCCTTCGCCGGTCACGAATACTGGGGTTCTTTGTTCTGCTTAAGCTTGTAGTCAAGCCCGCGCGCGGATATGGCGGCACAGCGTGTCATTGTGTGAGACGATATGACTCCCATCCTCTTGAGTTCCGCGTCAATTGTAGTGCAAAGCAAGTTGAGAAAGAGAGGTGCATTTTATGGAAATTGGTACTTGAAATTCACTCATTCTGCCAGTAGGCCGCTCAAGAGGTCACCCTCGTCATTAGGATTCAACTATGAACGAGGTGCCTCACACTTGCCCGAGGAAGCAGCGATGATTTCATCTCACACCACAGCCGATAACTAGATTTGACATACTTAATGAGCTCTACTCCCATCACGTAACGTAGTCTTTGAACCAGGCTGAATGACTAACTATAAATACGGCTCTCTTGTTCGGCCCAGCCCGGGAAAGATGGAGACTTGCATTCTCTAAGTCCATTGCCAAAGTGTGATGTCGGAGACACGCACCGGCAAAGTCATTCCAGCCACCTATGGATTCCCTAGAGGGACTTTTGCGCATGATCTCATTGGGACACAATTCAAGCCAAGAGCAATGCAGGATCCGTTGCGAGATCAACGCTGGTATAGGTTTTCATGTGCCAGCTGAGGTGGGCTGAGATCTGGCAGGAATTCCACCTTTTCCTCGTCCAAGGACAAATAGATACCCCGTGACTAGGCCATTTTATTTTCACATCTACCGAAAATCATCCTTACTATATGTGATTGAAATGGGAAAGACATACCACGTCTTCCTAACATAATATTGAGGTGAATTGACAAACCTTCAAATGTATGATGTGCCAACGAAATCGTCCTCAAGAACAACGAAGCCATGAGAGCCATAGTAAGTAAAACTTACGGAGCCAGTCATGATTACTTTAGATGTTCCAGGACCTAATTCAATGAGGGAATAAAGTGGCAGGCCTGGGCTGAGACTACAGGGCACTTTTGACAGTGGGGAAGATCCGAATGCCTGTTGAAGGACGGAGGTGGAGTGATGTCAATACGATTGACTGACATTATTCTGGACAGGTTTGCGGTATTTGACCAACATTTCAGGCAATTCCAAAAGGAAACCAGACTGTGTGATCGGTTGCAAGCAGCAAAAGTGACCATGCTCCATAATCTCGCTGGCAAGTGTCATAGCCGGCGAAACAGATTTTGCTAATCGTAAATGGGAATCAGCAGCCATTGTTCATATCCGTATTTTTAACCTTAAAAGCTTCTCAATCTGATCAGATGATGCCTCTAGTTCGTCAGATTTCCGTCCAACCTCATAAGAATCATCCATCATATTTGAGGGCGCGGTCGTTGGTCCTATCTCAAGGAATATGTTCCTCCGAAGAACTAGCAAGCATTTTTTCTTGACAGTGCTGACAGAGCCGTGAAATGTAGCAAGAAAAGTTGCAATACCCAAAAGGAACCTAGTGTCCGTGCAGCGTCCAGAACTGGACTCCTCGTTCGTTTATTTTGGCATTCGATAGCTTAACCCCCCCCACCCCCCCCTTTTTTTTTTTTTTTTTCTTGTTTATCTTTCCAATGGGTTTCTTCTGTGCTTATATGTAAGTCAGGTGAGAGACAGGTGCAAAGAACCATCCAAACTTTATCCCATGAAGACTGGATAACCCTGATATGAACAGGTGTGACCACGGGGACCAATCTTAGAATTCCACACACGGTGAGTGAAATAGACTCTTGATGCAAGTTCCCCGTGGAAACCATAGTTTTCTGGCCGTGTTTCAGGAATCTAGAACACAGCGAAGTCTGATATACGTAAATAGTTATATTGAAAACCCGGGGTGACCTGCCATTCAGCGGCATCAAGCCTCATAACTCCACTCTTTCTGGTGGCTTCGGAGCTTGCTCGACTCTGCAATCACCAAACTTGGGGAGAATTCCAATAGGGTCGGAAGATCTCTTGGAAGACCGTGCTCCCTGCAAATACCGTCTATCCAGCTCCTCGCCGAGCTTGTCGGGGCTGACTGTAATTTTAAGCCAGTGCTGACTCGTAACGTTCTTGTCGTACACCCAGACATTACAACCGTTACACTTGCCCTCTCCATATAGAGTGACAGTATTGTATCCGTACTCGTTACCAAACTTGAAATACTCGCCGAGTCCTCCCACAGCATAAAGCATCGCAACGGGATCGAAAGACCACTGCGGCTGGTAATACGTGTAGAGTATATACGCCGCCCGTACAGGGTCAGTCTTGGGTCCGTCCGCCATGAGAGGACCGCCTGAGCGAACTGAGCCCCCGAGCTTGAAACCGGCGTAGACAATGGGACTTGTCCAGTTGTGGATTACATGTGCTGTCTGATAGGGGTCGTCGCCCCAAAAGTTGAATTCAAATCCGTTTGGGTAGTCCCCGCCCATGACGACGAGCTCTTTGACCTTGGTCTCGACTAATTCGGGGCCGGAAAGCGGGGACCGGGCATCTGCCGTGGAGTTGAGGAAGCCGGAGAGGTTGTGCAGGAAGCCGGAGAGGTTGTGCAGGAAGCCGATGGAGGCTATCGTGACAGAGTCATCTTCTGCTTCGGAGAGTAGCTTGCGGTAGAGGTCGACGGGGTCCCAAGCTTCCTCGGCGTCGGAGATGCTTTTCGACCAGTACGTCGCTAGCTTGCTCGCGAATTCGCCGGCGCGCTTGGCCCAGTTGTCGAAAAATGGGACATCGTTGAGCGGTCGTCGGGCACCGACGGGGACGTCAGCGTGATCATAATGGTTGAGAATCGCCGAAGCTGCTAGCACTGAATATGAGGATTGGGAGTTGATATTAACTCCTAGAAGGTTGACTTCTGGAGATGTGGCGGCGAGGAGAAGAGCCGCGGCATCACTGGGGTGTATTAGAGAGGACTGGAATCAGTCTAGGCGGACATGAGGATAACGGACTTACTCGCAATCGCTGAATAGGTCGGTGTCAACTATGAGGTTCTTCTTTGCTGACGAAATAGTGGCGAAGACGAAAAACACAGTCAAGAGGCATGCAGTGATTCTTGACATGGCTCGGCCTTATCAAGAAAAGACCAGATGTCGGCTCCTCTGACTTGCGATGCATTGGCCAGTTTCTTGGCGCAAAAGGGAGGTTCCTTTCACGATCATCCGATGTCTAGGGCCTTCACAGAGGAGAGCACAGAAGGGCGCGGGGAAGAGAGTGAGGTACGTAGACATAACCTACCAGCTGCTGCCGACTGGAGTGAGATATAGCCAGCTGCCATGCCTAATATGGTCGTGACTTGTTTTAGCGTCGCCATTGATCGCCTTCCCCGCCAGCCCGCTAACATCCGCTGTGGGCCGAAACATCTCATCCTTCCTCCGTCTTTGAAGCCAAACTTTAAGCCTCCCAGCTGTTTATGTGCCACCAGACTTGCACCGTTGGCATTGAAGCTTCACGCCAATGATCGGCCTTGCGGAGCTCTATACTCGGCGTGTCAGAAATACAACATACCTATTCATCTTCCACGCGATGCCGTCGAACATGAGGGTGCGCTCTCTCCACCAAGCAATGTCGATGACGCACGAGGCATGTCTCTCCCCAAGCTCGGCTCAGGGATGCAACCAACAAATAAGGTACGGTCAGCTCGAACCGGACGAGACAATGCGCAGCCTGCCGGGTTACGAGCAGATCCCCCACACGTTAAACCCACCAGGATCGTTCGGTTCCCCTCCACCGTAGCAAAGCTGCAGTCAAACACTGGAACAAAGTGCGGATCGGCATGCGTTCCGACTGCCGTTTGGTCAGCAAAGCCAATCAAGACCGCAGAGACGCTTCACCGGACGGATTGCGCCATTCGAGCTGAGTGCGACGTGGGAGCTGCCGCCGTCTGAATACCTCTAGCCGTAACACTCAAAACCTACAAAGTGTGGCGACCGCGTTCTGTTCATATGGCTGGTCTCGGCTCTCCACAGTCAAGTCCTGAAACCTTCAAGACTCTTTGTTCATTTGGAAGAACGTCAAGATTGCCTCAGACAGATTGACGTTCGCGTCGTTTTGCAGTCTCTCTCTTTCAATAGGCATAGATTGAATCACTTCGAGATGGGCACCAATACAGATCCCACGCGGAAGCTCGACACGGCGCAAAAGGTCGACTCGCATTCTGGTGCAGCCCACGATGGCAGCATTGACATCCATGGCATTGACGATGCTGCCATCATTCCCAAGGGTGCCCTAGATCCTGTCTACGAGGCTAAAGCCCGTGTACTCAATCGCGCTGTACGTTGCCGTCTGGGAATACTTCAAGATGAGAGCACTTGACCGCTGACTTCTGGCCCCAGATTCAAGACATCGGTATGGGTTGGTACCAGTGGCAGCTCTTTATCGTCGTCGGATTCGGATGGGCAAGCGACAACCTTTGGCCAATAGTCACGTCGCTCATCTTCACTCCGATTACCAACGAATTCGGTCCTTCTCGTCCGCCTCTGCTTACACTATCGCAAAATATCGGCCTTTTGGCAGGTGCCATGTTCTGGGGCTTTGGCTGCGACTTGTTTGGGAGGAAAGTGGCCTTTAACCTGACCCTCGGTCTGACTGCTCTCTGGGGTATGGCTGCTGCCGGTGCGCCCAGCTTCGCAGGCATCGGCATTTTCGCGGCCTTCTGGTCCTTCGGCGTCGGGGGCAATCTCCCCGTCGATTCGGCCATCTTCCTCGAGTTCCTCCCAGGAACCCATCAATACCTATTGACAGTCCTCTCCATCGACTGGGCCATTGCCCAAGTCATTGCGACTCTCATCGCGTGGCCACTCCTCGGCAACCTCACCTGCCAAGAAGGCGCGACTTGCACTAAAGCCAACAATATGGGTTGGCGATACTTCTTGATCACCATCGGCGGCCTAACTCTGATCATGTTCTTGATTCGATTCGTCCTCTTTACCATCTACGAGTCTCCCAAGTATCTCATGGGCAAAGGTCGCGACGAAGATGCCGTTCGAATCGTTCACGAAGTTGCAAGGCGAAACGGGAAGCTTACGTCGTTATCGATAGAGGATCTGAAGGCGTGCGAGCCCGAAGGATACATCGCGCGCACCGATGCTGCCACAGCGGTCAAACGAAATCTGGAGAAGCTCGATCTTAGCCGTATACGTGTGCTCTTCTCTACTCGACGTCTGGCTCTTAGTACTGGCACAATCATGGCCATCTGGGCGTTGATCGGCCTAGGATACCCTCTCTATAACGCCTTCATACCGTATATTCAGGCCACCCGTGGAGCAGAGTTGGGCGATGGCAGCACCTATTTGACGTATCGCAATAGTCTGATCATTGCGGTGCTGGGCGTGCCCGGAGCGCTGCTGGGTGGCTGGCTGGTTGAGCTGCCTGCGCTGGGGCGCAAAGGCACTCTTGCCATCAGCACCGTTGCAACCGGAGTCTTCCTTTACTGTTCGACGACGGCTATGACTAGTAATGCGCTGCTTGGCTGGAATTGCGCCTTCAACTTTTGCAGCAACGTCATGTACGCGGTGCTCTACGGCTTTACCCCGGAGCTCTTCCCCACACCGCAGCGCGGCACCGGCAACGCGCTCACGGCGACCTGCAACCGCATCTTCGGGATCATGGCTGTAAGTGCTTTGTGCAAAGACTGGGAGATCAATGCTGACACAACACCGAGCAGCCCATTGTCGCCATGTTCGCTAATTTAAAGACATCGGCTCCCGTCTACACCAGCGGCGCGCTCTTCATCGCAGCTGGGCTTTTGGTGCTTATATTACCCTTTGAGTCGCGCGGAAAGGCCGCGTTGTAATCCATTATTACTATCTAGATGCCTCGTCAGTGTCTGATATCTGACGGCATGTTAGGAATAAATGTGAGCTTCCTCTCGCTGCTGAGCAAGGTACACAGTACCCCTCGGCCTCCTGACATGGAATTGTTGAAATGATCATCGACACCGCGAGTCACCTTCATGGAATATTATTCAACTGTCAACGTCGGGACGAAGCCGCTCCGGTACTCGGCCATTGTCCGCGGAGTTGGACAAATGCGTATCTACTGATCAACAAACTACACAGCCGTGTTCTTGGCGAACGAGGTTTAGAGAGGCTCCAATCCGAACATCGGCAACTCAACATGAACCCGTGGACCCATTGCAGTCTTTCGGAGTGATTCTATACGTCACTGGCAGAAAGCATATCTCGCTACGGGTGGTCCAAAGTCTTGGCGACATGGCTACTGCCCACCGTTATCTGCACCCACGGGGATTCCCCCGCTTTCCCCTCATCTTTCCTACTGAGCTGCCTCATCCAGTTTCGTTGCCAATGTTAACACTAATTCGAATCGGACCTACAATGAGAGCCTTGCTGGTTTCCAGTATCCCACTGCCGGTCAGCATCGGCAATTCCTCCGACATTGGTTGACTTATCGAACATCGACTCCGGAATGAGATCAGCCAAGCTAACGGTCATGTCAGGAACCGTCCCCCTCCACGCGTTGACGAGCCATTTTGCGTTGCGCGATGCTACGCTGCCCCATCGCGACTTTGGTGCCTTGCGAGAATTAGAGGGCTGTTAAAAGGGACGAAGCCGCCCTGCTCTGGAGCAACTCTGTCAGATGTTGGTTTTGCTTCGTTTTGGTACTGATCGGCATCTCACAACTCACGTTGTCCTACACAATGGTTGCTGCATCTCGCCTAAGCCTGCTTGGCTTGTCCCTACTCTCATCTGTCCAGGCGGCTAAGTATGGATACAACCACGTAACTGTGCGAAAGGACACGGACATCGTCGCCGCCAACTTCAAGGATATCGAAGGCGTCGATCTGCTGTCGCCTGCATTCTTGACCCCGGAAACCATTCCTGCAGGCTTCTCTGATGGCACGCAGGGCCCGACAGATGATGACCTTCTTGGTGAGCTTTCTACGAGCAGCTTTTCTAAACCGGTGGCTAACAAACTCAAAGACTCTTTTGTTCAAGACTTGGCCGACAAGAACGACTGGCTGACTTACAACAAAGCCAATTTCACCTCGGAGGAGGGCCGTCCGTTTCCTTACCTACACCTGTCCTCGACAAAGCTGTCTCGTAGGGTTTCAAACTCGACTGGCAAGGTCAGAGTTTGGGTCCAAGGCGCCGTCCACGGCAACGAGCCAGCCGGCGATCAGTCACTTTTGGCCCTCCTCGGGGCCCTGGACGCGAACCAGACATGGGCTGCGTCGCTCCTGGAGAAGCTCGATATTGTTATTCTGCCTCGGTACAACCCCGACGGCGTTGGCTACTTTCAGCGCACTCTGGCCACCAACTATGATCCCAACCGCGATCACGTCAAGCTCGCCCGCAAGCAGACCCGCGACATCAAGACCCTCTTTGGCGAGTTTGCTCCCCACGTCGCTATCGACATGCACGAGTACAGCGCGACTGCCCGCTACGGAAGCTACTACCATGCCGCCGACGGCCTCTTCTCTGCCGCCAAGAACCTCAACATCCACCCGGACATTCGCACGCTGTCCGAGGAGGTCTTTGCCAAGAACATTGGGTCGGCCATGGAGGCCCGAGGCCTTCGCTGGGAGCCGTACGTGACCGGCTCCACAAGCACCAACCCGGCTTTCAAGCCCACCTTCGCCGAGGCCGGCTCGGATGCAAAGATTGGTCGCAACGCCATGGGCCTTACGCAGTGCGTCACTTTCCTCATCGAGATGCGCGGCATCTTCCTCGCGGACCAGGAATTCCAGCGCCGCACCGTAGCCGGCCTGACCATGGCCTCGAGCATCATCCAAACCGCCGCCGACAACGCCGAGAAGGTCTACACGACCATCGAGTCCTCCATCGCCGACTTTGCCTCTTCCACCTCGGAGATCATCGTCACAGACTCCTCGCCGCTCGTCCAGCGCACGTTTAAAATGATCAATATCAACAACGGCTCCGTCACCGACGTGCCCATCAACTTCCGCTCCACCACGCCCGTGACGGCCAACATCACCCGCGCCCGCCCCGAAGCCTACCTCATCCCCGTCGCATGGGCCGATCTCGCCGAGCGCCTGCGTGTGTCTGGTCTCGAGGTCGAGACACTTAGCGAGCCGTATGTCGGCACTGTGGAGGCGTATGACATCACGTCAGCCGTGTTTGAGACGGAGTACTACGAGGGCGTTGTGCGCGCTACTGTGACGACGGAGGCGCTAACCAAGGAGGTGAATCTGCCTGCTGGCAGCTTCCTTGTAAGCACAAGGCAGAAGAATGCTGCTCTTGCGTTTATGGCTCTCGAGCCGGAGAATATTGATTCGTACGCTAGTTTTAACATCGTTCCTGTTGAGGATGGGGATGAGTACCCTATCTACAGGGTGTTGGCATGACTGCTCCAATTGAGATGATAGATACATTATTAATACAATCATTGAATGGCATCTCACTTTTGAAAACAGTTCCAAATAAGCCCTGTTTGTGGAAACATTATACATCACGCATCGACCTTCCTCCGCCACTCAATCACCCCAACATCCTCCCTCCCCGTCATGAACCGCACGCCGCACCGCAACAACTCCGCCAGCACTTCCATCTCATCTTCATCCCGGGGGCCGTAGACCATGAGATACGAATCCGCCAGATGCAACCTGTTTGCTAGGAACGAACCCTTGGGTAGGGAGAGGCGGTGGCGCTCGGCCCAGCGTTTTTGGATGGCGAGTTTGGCGTCCGCGGGGGGGAGGTAGAGGTGGATGGAGAGGTCTGTGTGGTGGTGGGCTATTTCGCCGCGGGCTATGACGGGGGTGGATGAGGATGAAGATGAGAGACAGGAGAGGATTTGGGGGTGGAGGAAGAGGGCTGGGTTGTTTCGTTCGTAGAGGGAGAGCTTTGTGGTTAAGAGGGAGGGGTTTTGGGTTACCGCGTTGGCGAAGAGGTTTTCGATGAACTAAAACAATGTCAGTAGATTCGTATATACCTTAATCAAGCTCATCTCTGAGAGAGTGGGACAATTTTCATGTTCCGAGCATGATGACATGGTACTCACCTCTCTCATCTTTTCCGGCGCATGCTGACTCAACTGCCGATGCGGCACGATCCCGCCCAACTCCGCCCTCTCCCCCTTTCTCTCAGGTAGATCCCGGATCTCGGCGTGGGACCCGTGGTCTGGGTAATCGCCCGTCCAGGTGGCTGAGCTTTTGGAGAGGGCAAAGGGGCGGAGGCCGAGGGTGACGAGGAGCCAGCCTAGGGCATTGTGCGGGACGCCGCCGGGGCCGAGGGCGATGTAGGCGCGGTAGTCGCGGTAGGCTGCCCAGAGGAGGAGGGGCGTTGCGAGGGTGGTGAGGAGGGTTGGTAGGGTTGAGCGATTGCGGAGGGAGTGGAGGAGGGGATTGAGGCGGTTGAGGAGGGTTGTGAGGAGGGATGTTGTGGGCTGTGACATTTGGTTGTATGTGTGAGGTTTGGGGTTTGAGTAAATGACAGTTGTGAGATGAGTGGTAAGATCGTTGAATGCTAAGTGAAATTATTATGGTGAGTATGGAGTGAGTACGGAGTGAGTTGAATGAGTGATAATGAGGCTGAGACGAGAGACGTTCGGGGATTTTGGGGAAGAGCGGGCGGGAGATCCGGGGAAGTGGGGTTAGTCAGCCGGAGGACCAAGCAAATGCATGTGGCCGGATGCTGAGGAAGACCTATCCTCATCTACTCGCTAAGCAACCTTAGCTTTTCTCACACAAACAATAGATCAGAAGCGGTTCTCAGCAGTAATATGATTGTAGACATGCTTTATTCGAGGCCTCTGGGATGGTGTACGAAAGGCAAAGAGTAACTTGGTCGGGTCTGAACTACAAGGAGACAAGAAATCATTGGCAAGACGAAAGCTAGGGAACCCCGATCTCAAAACCATGAGCCGAACCAACTTGGCAAAGACTTGATCTTTTCCCACAACCAGGCAAAAAAATCGCATACACACCCCCAGAACCGTGCGAACAGGCGCTTGATAATTCTCTACAGTAAGTCTCAGGGAATAAGATAGATTGCTGATCCCGCCCGAGCTCCAACGCCCATGCCAGCCGCGGAAGCTCCGCTCGCAACACCGGTACTGGCGTAACCCGCCGCGAGCCTTAACCCCAGCGGTCCGGTGATGAACACCCCGCTAGTGTTGAGCCAAACGACACCGCCTGCTGCGCCAAAGCCAGATACAATTACGACGACAAGGGATAGCAACGCCTTGAAGAACCCAGGCCCGCTACCTGCACGGGGACTGTCAGCGCCGGAGTTTGGTTACGCGTCTGGTGCTACAGATGAACTCGTCTGTTCGTATGGAATCTTCACTTTCCTGAGCGTCTTGAAAATCTCCTCTGTATCCCCGGCTTTGAACTCGGGTCACAGACCCTCTCGGTCCCAGTCAAGAGCTTTCATTTCGTGATTGTAGTCTCTCTCCCTGTGCGGGAAGTAGATGCCGTTGAAGTGCGTCAGCTGGTGGGTACCGGCGGCACTGAGCCTACTGTATATTCAGCTATCGCTTGGATGAGAGCAACATATCAATTTCTTGTCGATACGAAATTTGTAGTGGGTGTTGCTCCGGATCGTGCCACAGACTTTGATGTAGATCTTCTTGATGAAAGAGTCTATCTGGTAGAAGATCGATTCTATCGCAGAGCTAACCACGATACGGAGCTTGTCGCATTATGCGTGATGTCTCTTGTTGATCACGCGCTCGATGACATCCTGGAGTGCGCTCGCGATAGTGGGGGTAGTCTGTAAGTCAACGTGAGACAGTCGTTTATCATGGTGTATTGGGCGAGAGGGCCTTAGCGCTGCAATATTCCAAATCCAGAAGCCAAGATGCAATATTCAAGCAGCTACCAGCATCGTCGCTGGCGAACCACTTAAAACAAGAGTTATGAGACATTTCAAAGTGAGGCGACCAATGATTTTGCCTGGTTATAGTGAGAGCATCTGCACGTCGGCAAGACGGGGAGATATAGCGAAAACCCAAGTGATGGACACATAAGCCTTCAATTCCCGACTTCTCCTCTTCTTGGAAAGCCGAATGCTACCCCTTCAGATAAGCTCATCCATCGCCAGAGTAAAGATTCATCCAAAACAGACAGACGTATCTCGGCATCTGCTTATCTAGTTCTCCTTACATTTCCTGTTCCAAGAATGGCCAATGACGACGACCCCAATACCAGTGTAGCATGCCTATCCGGAAGTCAGCGCTCAAGCGATAAAACCCCAGTCCCACCGACCGAAGCTGGTGATGGCCAAATCGACAGAGGCAGATCTGACGGTCGCAAAGAGGTTGGAGTCGAATCAACTGACAAAGAGGAGAACCCTTTGTATGCGAATATCGAAGCGAGTAAGACCGATGAAGACGCGTGCAAGGCGATAAACAGCATAGACCAGTGGAAGAAAATGGTTAACTCCCCAACTACAGACGGGTCTCAGAGGACGCCTCTGCATATTGCAGCTGGAAAAGGCTTTCTGGCTCTGACAAGACTGCTAATCGAAGCCGGCGCGAATGTTGACGCTCTCGACGTAGACGACGAAGGTCCTATCAGCTTTGCATGCATGAACCAACACATTGGGGTAGTGAGGCTCCTCTGCGAGAAAAAAGCCAGTGTTACGCACTGCAACTGGGAAGGGTGGTACCCAATTCATTGGGCTATCAACAATGGAGATTGGAAAGACAATGTTGTTCCACTACTTCTTGGTCGCGAGAAAGAATGTATAAATAAGCAGGAAGGCATATGTGGATGGACTCCACTTAATATGGCGACCTATCGTGGAAGGAATGGTATTGTCGAGACTCTTTTGCGAGAAGGAGCAGATCCTACCATCCAAGACGAAGACGGGTGGACTCCAGTGATGACCGCAGCCAAGCTGCGGAATTCCACGATATTGGGACAGCTACTGATCCATCTAGAGACGAACAAGAAGGGAGAAAACGTCGGTATGACGGATAATATGGGCAAAACAGTACTCAAAGAATTGCTTTCCGCCAAAGCTGAGGACTTTGAGTCTCCGAACGATCTTGCATTCCTTGTCGGCAAGATCCTTTGCCTCAAGAATTCGAAAGAGATTTCCGACGAACGCCACCCAACAGTGTTGCGTTGTTTAATGGAACCCGAAGTCTCTGCCAACGACCCAGATATTGTAATAACAATCCTTCGTCATGTTGTACAGAATGATCGCTTCCTCGAAGACCAAAAAGATGACAACATATTTGGAAGTGTTGGTGGTGTGGTAGAGTTCTTGCAAACCAAAGTGGAACCGCCAAACCAAGTCCACTTTACAACATTTCTACTTTGCTGGCTTGCACGGAGAGTAGAACTGCATGGTTGTGCACAGAAGATCTTGGAGAAATATTCTCAAGGCATGGGGCTTCCACAGTTGGACATACAACCCGAGAAGTGGAAACTGGCCGAATGGGCTATCTACTGCGGACTGCCGCAGGTTCTGATGAACTGCGTCACAGCGACTCGACTGGTGAAGGGACGCTCAGACAATGACAAGCCTGATTTCAAAATCGACAAACCCGGCTGTAAGAAAATCATTGATCTGTTGAAAAAAGAGAAGAACGAAAAACATGAAGGATCTCCGAGAAACACCCCGCTTCCAGTCCACGACAGAGGGAAAGCGAGAGACAACCAAGCGAAACAAATGGACAATCGTGCCATTGATGGCGAGGAGAAAGGTGAGGGCGAAGAAATGCAAGCTTTGAGGGACATGGAAGATATTCTCGATTTTTACCTCATGGAAGAGACCATCAAGCCCAAGCCAAGTCTTAAGATGCCAGAGAACGATGTCCTGGAGGGTTTGGAGAACTTTGAAGCAGCTGTCATTCAGATACGCCAGCATGAGCGCAATTTCACCAAGTTCGTCAAGTTCCGAAAGATTTCGGAGGTAATATACAAGGAGGAGGTTTCGTTGGAAACGGTGGGAGATACGATGGAGAGATTCGGGCGTTATTTTGCCACAAACGGAATAAAGGACGAGGTCAACGTGAAGAACGAGGGGCTCAAGAAAGCCACAAAGGATTTCACATGGATCCACCTCCCTTCAACCAACGTAAGCTTCTCTTGAATGATTCCTTAGGACCTCCAAACTGACCGAGAACAGATGGTCTGGATGACGGTATGAGTTTATTCCCCAAGCTAGCAGCTCCCTTCGGCTGTACCTACGGGAAAGTGTTTCGTACTAACTCGGAACCTGTTGCAGGACATCATGAAGAAGTTAATGGTGACGCTGGGGTGTGGCCAAAATGAGTTTGAATATTTGGACTCCTTCCTGCGTGCCAGCTGGGTACAAATACCAGACAAGACATCCCCAGCTCGTTATATGCTACCTCAGTATGCCAGGCGCCAAGCCGAAAAGACGCCCGCGAGAGAGGCATACAATCACAAAGGTGAGGGACCAGCTTGACCACAAACTTTTATGAGTCTTCCAATACACGTACTGAGAACAATGCACTAGAAGACAGTGTTGTACAAAACCGTACTAGCGAGGAGGACGAAAAGCCGACTGGGAAATCTGCAGTCAACACCACAAGAGAAGAGGAGATGGCTGAATCCTTCAACGCATCAGCGCTTTACGTAAGTGACTCGTGCTATCGTGGTCTCAAGAGGTGGTTTGACTGAAAGACAAGATGCCCTTCCTCTCCTTCTCGCCATACCGCAAAGAAGAGCAACCCAGCAAAGAAGGGCAACACAGCAACCAGAGTACTGGCACGCCTGACGTCAGCAGTACGGACAATAAGTATCACTTAACGAGGAGGGAAGGATTGGCCAAACAGCGTCGTCGACGACAACAGCTCTTTGAGCACTATAAAGATCATCCTATGCACTGTTCTCCAACCTTGGACGAGTTCTATTATCAATTTGGGGCAGATGAAACATCATTGGAGGACCGAGACGCACGCAACAAAGACCAGACAGTCACAAAGTACCTGCACCCAAAAGGAGTCGAAGAGCTTGATTCGTGGTCTCTACTCAAGGTAAATCAACTCTGGATTTGGACTTTTGGAGAAAGTAAGCATTTGCACATTCGAAGCCAATTTAATTCACGGGAAACTAAATCAGAGCAGAATGGATGATAACATCCACTTCTTGCATCGAGAGTAATGACGCGAACAAGTTTGTGTTGGAGATTCTCGACCATATTCAGAGGCGTATGGAGGACGGTACCAACTGGCATGGCCCGGAATCTCCGGAAGAACTTAGTAAGGAGATTGTCGAGCATTGCACGGCTACGTACGAAAGGAAGTACGAATTTGATAGCAAAGGGTATCAGGTGGATGAGGAGTTTCTGAAAGAGAGCCCAGACTACAAACATCAACAAGAAACCAGCGCCAGTGGAAAAGATTCGAAAGAAGTCAGCAAGACCAGCCATGCAGGACAAACCACCCAAAAGGTTGACATCAAATCAACTGACCGCGACGGTTCAGCGCCGCAAAGACAGAAGTACAAAGACAGGTATTATGGCACACGCGGCAGAAGACAATACGAATTTAACGGAGGACAACGTTCGATTCGTCAAATCTTCTCTGATTCCATAAATAGGATTGTTCGCTACACCAGTTTCTACTATGATGAGCAATGGCTGATATGTTTTACAGGGCAGAGAAGAAGCAGATTTATTTCGTCTATTTTGCGAGCCCAGCGGACATAGAAATTCGAAAAGAGGTTCCATGAAAGGGGGCTGGGCAGGTGCCCTGACAGATGGGGCCCTGAAAGATGTGGCGAGGAAATACTTGGGCCTGTGGGCGAGGGACAAGCACATCATGGACATCACCGATGACAAACTACAGAATTCTCAACCAGCGCCACTCACAACCGAGAGGCTCCAGAACGCCACGAAAACAGCAGCGCAGCTTTTGTTTGACATCAAGGATGTTCGTGACGAACTCAACATCATGAAAACTGTGGCGGAATCCCAACTAAAAGTCCACCTCAGCATAAGTGGCACCGAAAAGTGCGACATTTGTACAGGCTGCCACGACTTGGATGACGATTCGACAGCCAAGTATAACCGAAAAGACATCATTGAACTGGACAAGGTTGCTGAGCAAATTCAGGATTCTGTCAGTTGACTAACTTGTGACTCAATTATGTGAGACTTGGCAAAGCTAATTGCGTGTCGTAGGTGCGTACTACGATCTCACTTCAAGAGAGTGAAATTGCAAATCGTCAAGCTATAGAGGCTGTCAACCAGGCAAATATTGTTACGGTATTCACCGTCATCACTCTCTTCTTTGTGAGCCTCACTTGTTACCCTGAAATACTTCGCCTTAGGTTGAGAACTGACGTCTAAAATCCTGCGAAAGTCGCCCCTCTCATTCATGACGTCTCTTTTTGCTTTAGACGTGGCTAAATTTCTTGAGGCACCAGTGTGGTCGCTCATTACCATTCGTAAGTTGTAGCTGACGTTTCAGGAGGACACATTGAATTGACACCTTCATAGTTGTTATACCACTGCCATTCCTCTTTGGAGGGGCTGCCTACGTCTTCCTCAACAAGGAAAAAGGCACCTCTACTGATAGCAGCCGAAAGGTAGCAATTAGAGAGGAAGTGGACGATAGAGAATGTGAAGGAAATTCATCAACAAACCCTGAAGTCTCAATCAGAGGGGGAGAAGACACAAAGCAAGGTCTGCAGAGTTCGCTAAGAAGACTGCACCGCAAGCGAGCTCAAAGCTGGAGTCAAATTGTATAGGACTATATTTCTAGTTTTGCTATAGTGGTACGAGTAATTTAACGCCATAACTTGCGGCACAAAGCAAAAGCTTCGAGGATGACTACTCTGGCATCATTACCCCCTGTTCCACACTATGTGGTTACGCCGGCCAGCACCCAACTAATTGGGTCATAACACCACGTCACCCCTCCAAGAAACAGATTCGTCACTATCCATGGACAATCCATAGCATCGAATGCCACGATATCATCTCCAGGACCCTCATTGTCTTTCGTTAACCCATCAAATGTGTGGCAGATGAGCTCTGTTGAGCTGATGGCGACGTGCGAAGACCAGGCAATACCAAGTCCCATCATTCCACCACTCACCCTGCAACCGTCAGCAACCCGAAGAACGATACGCAGCGCGAAGAAGGTATCCCACTCTGATACTAAATGGGATGAGCTTCTAAAAGACCACCTCAATCGTCTCTACATCAGGGAGAACCACACCCTGGATGAAGTAGTGTTTGAACTGGCTGCTATCCACAACATCGAGATCGGGTACGTTCCTCAATCTCCTCCATGCAAGAATGAGTTGCTCACCAAACCCTCTAGGAAGTCCTCAATCGAGAGACGACTCAAAGAATGGCTGGAATTGTCAAAAAACAACGTCAGCCAGCAGCACCAACAGGATGATATCTCGACGCGCCGGCGTACAGTATCGGCATTAACGTCCTTGGGACCACACTCCAACTCCCTCTTTGCCCAGTTCCCATTTGTCTCTCTGAATATGAGAAGAAGACAAGCCGAGGTCGACAGGATACGAGAGTTGTCCCCCAAAACATATCTCCACCAAGAGAGGATGTTCCACGCGCTAGATCAGCTCGTCAAAGGTCTTCTCGCCTCGGGCCAGAAAAGCTGGACAGTCGACCCAGTACGGCCCATCTCCTTCATCGCACCAAACAGCGGCGGCCGTACAGAACATGCGTCGACGACACCTCGTTCACCACCCTCGCAAGACTGGGAACCCCTCGTCGAAAAGTGCCATGGCATGGCCACCCTGGCAGAGACATCACAATTCAGCGAACTCCTCTCGGTATTTGGCAACGTCCTGGCATCGACAAAGCAAATGGTTCAGACCTGCACCCCTAATTTCCTCGTCTACTTTTGGAAGGTCTGCATCGCCCTCTTCCAAGTCCGCATCGGCGGCCGGAAAGACTACCTCTGCCTGCGCCTCTTCCTCCACAACCTCGGCGCTTACCTCGCCAGATCCCCCTCGGTCGGCGCGCACCACGCTGTCACCGTCTTCACGGCGTCGCTGATCGGCGTCGTCGAGTCGGAGTCGCTCGACCTCAAAGTCACGCTCGGCCTGGCGTACTGGAAGGCCATCCACGTGCTCGCCAGCCTGCTGGGCGGCGACCACGCTATCGTGCTGAACATGACGACCCATTGCGTGCGGCACTGGCCAGGCCGGTTCACGCCGCAGAAACACGTCCTTGAATCTGCGTACCAAGAGCTCCTGTCCAGGAAATCCTCGGCTCCGTGGGCGCTATCGGAAAAAGATATCTCGTTGCAGCTGGACTATCTGCGCACCGTGTCTGCGAAGAAGAACTACGCCCCGGACGTCATACAGCGGGCAGACGAGCTCCGCAGGACCACCCGAGATATCAGCCTGAGCAAGGCAACTACGGGCCGCCTGCAAGCGACCGTCACTACTCGCGCCTTTGACTTTACGACGGAACTGCTGACGGCTCACCACCTAGAGGCAGCAAGCCACGCGCGCGACGCGGATTCCGTGGAGGCCAGTCAGGCAGTGGCATTCGGCCTTCTCAACACGGCGATAGAGACCTTCCGAAAGGGAAGCCTCGAGTGCCAGATCCGCGCTGTCGCGTTCTCGAAGCGGTTGGAGGTCCACCTGAGGGCATCGGGCCGGAAGAAACAGGGGCTGGATGAGAAGGATCGTGGACGAGATGTGCGGCTCGCCATCAAACGGGCTGTGATGGTGCCGTCCTGGGAGCCAAGCTTCACACCCACGATGAGGAGATCATCACGTCCTCGAGCGTCGACCAAGGCGGCTTGGGCGGCTCAGGAGCGCCGAACCCGCGTGGAAAGCCGGGATCATCTGGTGTGTATGCTCCAGGCGAAGAGTCGCACGCGGATTTCTACGTGAGCCTGATGGGCGAGCTTAGTTGGGACGTTTGTTTCTGAGAGCTCTGCCAGAGAGGTTTCTTTGTGATGTTCAGATATTTACCACTCGGAATGAAGGACATCTTTTGGTCCGCATTGAGAAAGCATTGTACAATCCCATTGTCTTTGGTTCAACTACTTTGATGTGCTGTCCATCGTCCCAATTATTCTCACTTTGGCTTCTTTGACAGATTCAATGAGACCTGTGGCAAGCAAACTGCTCGGCAACATACTTGCAAAGAGAGGAAAACAGCAAACACTCACCTCCTTAGTTCATTCCGCCATCGGGAGAGAGTCATTAGTACGATATCAAGGTAGATAAATTGAGACTTAGACTCACAGAATTATCATGCCAAACACAAATCGTCCTTTCATTCCAAATCCTCTATTGCGCCTCAAGTTCACATTGCAGTAAGCACAGCCAGGCCGCTGGATACTCTTCACATAAAACACTTATATCACAATGGATCAACTCAAAAAGCTCACCCGCAAGGTGAAAGCATCCCTCACCGACAGCCCCCCCTCCTCCCCCGAAGAACCCCCTCGATCCTTCTTCAACACAACCCCTCCCCCGCTGCTTCGGCGCGTCTCCAACCGCCTCGCAACAGGTCTCAAAGACCTGACAGACCGCGGCCCCCCTTCCTCTCCCTCCTTCCGCCCTCCCCAAAACGAAGCCTCCTCAAGCCTAGTCCCCGTCATCCGAAGCCTATCCCGCCGCGGCGCCGGCGGCAGCGGCAGAAACAGACCGATCCCCCACCTCCCATACCGCATCCCGGACCCGGATCCCATGGCCCCGTTAGGCGGCGGACGATCCACGAACCCGGGGTCCGTGAAGCACATCCGCGATAAGTTTGTCCGGTGGACGGCGCGTCCGGGCGGGGAGTACGACGCCCGCTGGAAGGGCGCCTGTATCCCGACGGGCGAGCACGTCTCGAAGATGCTGGAGTGGTATACCCAAAGTGACGTCTACGAGTTCCCCTTCATCGGCACCGTCACGCGGATGAGCTGCGGCGCGACAAACGCGTTCTACTTTGTCGAGTTCGAGCCCACTTCCAGGCCCGTCGGCCAGGGTAAGTCGCCGCCGCTTCCGCGACAGGTCATCCTCAAGCTCAGCCTGCCTGTGTGTCCCCACGAGAAGCTCGAAGCCGAGGTTGCGGCGATGGTGTTTGCTAGGCAAGTATCCCCGGCCGTGGTTCCTCAGATCCTCGTGTTTGACTCCATCGGTAGGAACCCGCTCGGGTTGGAGTGGATGATTATGGAGGTGCGTACCGGATTCCCTTTGCTCAGTGCCTTCGAGGAGAACTACATCCTCGCGGCGCACGACCTAAACATGGCTAAGCAGGATACTGGGTTGGAAGGGTTCGGGGACATATCGCCCGAGACGATGCCGTCCCTGAGCGACGAGGACACGAAGGCCATTGCGAGGGAAGTGCAGCTGGTTCTTTCGAAGTTGCAGAGCTCTCTACCGACCATCCCCAAGAACCAGGTGAGCATCGGGAGTCTTCGCATCGATTGGTCAAAGAAAGAGTTCTTCACCGGACCGATAGTCCACCCTCACTTCTACAGCCGTGACAGATACTGGCAAGTGCGGAACAACGGGCCTTTCAGATACATCGAAGATTACGTTGATGCCTACACTTCGGTCTGGGAGCCCGAATTCAGAAGCCATCCCGAAATCAAAGTGCGTATAGGGAAGTTGCGAGAGATAGCCCGGGCAATGACAAGCCGTGTTAGGTTCAGTGTCCCCAATCCGATTCAAGTCGAAAGTACTGGTGGCAGCGTGGATGGCTGGCCTGTGAGTTTAGTCCATCCTGATCCTCACCCAGGTAACATTCTCTTCAACGGAAACCGGAAATTGGCAAGCATCATGGGTTGGGAGGATGCGGTCTTGATACCAGCGCCGCTGCGAAACCTGCCCGTGGCATTGGATTGGGCGATGCAACTCCACGGAGTGGCTGATGCCATTGATCCCATGCAGGTGAATGTGCTTGAGGCTTTGCCCATTCGTACAGAGCGAGTACTACTGACATTGCAGGAATGGGCGAAGAGACATGTCTCCGAATCACTAGAACCCGTGATGAATTTTCAAGGAGGGGTCGATGCCTCTTTCCAAGCATTGAAGATAGCCTGCGAGGAGATGATGCGGCAGAGAAGTATAGATTGGATTGAGCGTGTCCATTCCCAGCTCGTTGGCCAGTCTCATAGGGAAAGGTAGGTCAAGTCTTGCGTGGACAGAAGGCGTGGATAGGGTAGAAGTTCATAGACAAACCAACATTCTGACAATCATGCAAGAGGTTCTATCAGACCGACATGCAAAGTGATGCGGAGCAAGGGTGTAGATAGCCTCACACTGTGTGAGAAATCCTGCGCCACATCAGTGTAGTCAGATGAATGAGATCGAAGTAGATCTCAGAGGACGGCTGTCAGGAGGAGGTGCTCCCGGGCCCATGCATCCATCACATTGAGAATAAATAAGGCTTGGCAAGGTATCCTTGTGAGTTCGTGGGGCCATCAGCCGCGTAAATCAAAATGGGGGCAATGACAGGGATGGCAATGGAGATGTGGTGGCCTGTAAAAGATTGCTTCACTTGATGCCAAATCCTGAGTCTGGTGACAGTTCATGAACCTTGGGACAGGGCAGACAAAAGCAAAGCGGCCGTGATGTAGAGGCTTCGGGCCGCTCAAACGTTAGTAGGGAGATTGCAGGCCGAAGGAAATGAGTTCATGGTTTGGTGATGCAGTGGCGTGCCGAAAGACAGAAGAATGGCGTCACAGGGAGCTGAGGTATCCGTGAGGTGCATCGCACTAATGACCGGGCCTTGACGTCATGGATTGCAGGCTGGTGCTTTTTTGGGGGCTAGCCGCTGGTGGGTGCTGTGTGTTTGACTGCTTGCCGGTCGATCGCGATTCCGGGAAGGAGAGGGAGAAGTATGAAGAAAAAAGATAGAGGAAGACGCTATGCCATGTGAAGCGTGCTAGGTAGGCCACTAGGGAAGAAGAAGATGGCGCGCATCAACGGGATGCGTGGATGCCAAAAGAAAATGATGGCAAGAGACCAGATCTTGATAGAAGTGAGATGGGGAGATGGGGGACAGCTGGACAAGCACCTGAGAGCTCACAGACTTGTCATTAACAAACCTGGACTCGACAGGGCTTGAACACGTCTAGACTAGGCGATTACGTGTCAGTGGCCCGTAGCGGCATCCACCGCGTGACGAATTGGGAGCATTTGACAGCAATAAAGTGACAGAAGGGGAGGTGATCGTTGGGCGACGTCGTCTGAGCAAGGCTTGAACGGGTTGCGATGCCGCTGCCAATGTGCCAATGATTGGCAATGCAGAATGCAGAATGCCATGGGTTCAAGGTCAGGTTAGGTTAGGTTAGGTTGATGGAGCATTGGAGAGACCTGGAGACTGGAGTCCTGGGACGCGGCACCTGCCAGATCCTTGCATCAGTTTATTCCGAATGCCGCGATGATCCCGGCCTTGGCGCGTATTGTTTGATGAATGGGAAGTGTGGCGTATTTGGCGAATTGAGCAAGTATTGAGGGATGCCAGATTGTAAAGGCCTAGACGTTCTGTGGCTGTGAAGGAGAAATCATCGAGTGTGGCCGGGGTTGAGTGAGTGTGTGAGTGTGATTGAAACGCAGAGAGCATGCTGATGTTGCAGCCCTCGCGCAGCTCTTGGGATGCTTCGGATGCATCTGGTTGGGAGGACGGTTACATTTTGCGGAAAGGATGAGAATGTATAGGGAATAATCTCCAGAACTGGTGAGACGTTGGGCAAATCATCGGTGAAAAACTGACCAGCGGCCATCGTTCAGCGGGAGGCAGAGACATGTTTCTTTCCCGGCTCAGGCTCCTGCCTCCCGTCGTCTTTCTGTTGGTTGGTCAATGGATAATGGCAGGGAAGGAGCAAGGATGGGGAGGGAGGGAGGAAGGAAGGAGGAGGACGGGAAAGGCTAGAACCGAGCTCAAGTGGAGCCAATCAAGCACCATCGGGTTCCCCATGTCGCTTTGTAGCGTTGTACCTCCTTCCGCTGCATGTTCAAAAACCCAAGCGCGGAAAGAGAGAGACGGTTAGCGTGAGAATGCCTGTCGCGTCCAGACCCGCGCTTTCGTTGACATGACGACATGGGCCAACACCACGCCATTTGCATCGAGGATACAAACTTGTTGGAAGTTGCGATGGGTTGCTGAAACAGTCGGAAATCCCATGTGCCTATGTACCGCTACCGCTGCAGTCTCCTCATGGCCTCCCCCAAGGCAGCGTGTCATCTCGATCCAGTCCCAAAGTGGGCAGAGTGGTGTTTGAGACACAACAAATGAACGGGATATTGGACAGGGCCTTGGGCCATCCACACCGGCGCACGCAGCAGTGCAGCACCCAGCACATCCCTTCTGCATCCCTTCTGCATCCCGTCATATCCTGGCGCACATCATCAAGTCAGGTCGACCAAAGATGCCAGAACCCAATTAGCGGTTCACGAGGTCGACAGACGGTTTGTTCGACAGCTGTCTATCTAGCCTGAATGGCACCTGATGGGGGAATAGGGCAGATGCTAGTGGGACAGAGGATAGCATCCTGGGGATCGGGACTTGGGAGAGAGACAGTTACCATTTCCAAGCACAGCAGGGAGACTCTATGGTGATACGAGGCATTGACTTGAATAGCGTCCGAATAGTCGAGCTATCCACCGTTGACAATTTCAGACAGCGCCTAGCACCAAACTCTCCTAGGTGATCTGATATCCGTACCGAGTAGTGCGACAGAGATCCCATCACGAGGGGAGGCTGGGAAACGGTTGTCTGAGAAGCAGCCGCCCGGACGCTTGTACTTCGTACTGTACATGTGCCAACTTGCCGTGCTCCCAATCCACCAACCTGCCTATCCTACATCGGACCATTTTGCAACAATAAAGGAGCCCGACGGTCGCGAACAGCGGCGGCTGTGTGGTGCGGAAGTTGGCAGGAGTCTAGACCGTATTTTTCAAAAGTCTGCATCACCTACAGGATAGCCCGGAGACGTGTTGCCGGAGGTGTGTCCACTGTCCAGTCACTCCAGACCCAATGCGTCGATGCTGGTGGTGTGTTGCTTGGTGAGAGAATCGAACAGGGTGAAAAACTATCGACGATGTTCGCTGTGCTCTGCGATGGACGATGAACGATGTCGAGATGTTGTCCGTCACCCAGACTGCGCAAAACGCACCAGGTGGGACCGCTAAGAAAGTGGGTGCGAATCTCCCCAGGCCACTAATGCGAATAGGAGACGTGCTAAAAAATGCCAGTGCTTCGCCAGCTGGAACTCAGTCACCTCAATCTTGCGCTCCAATTGCTTGGTACTCGACCCAGCCGAGGCGAAGCAGGGGCATACGCATAGGGGCTGGATTTCTGAAGCAAGCACCTTCGCAAGCAGGGCAGGGGCAGGCAGGTTCAGCTGTGGTTGCTCTCGCTTCTTTCCGCTAGGATTCTGTAGGTATTCATCGGCAGTGCGTACGCGAAAAAGATACATTGTCCTCAGGCAAGGAAGGTACCTACCTTACTCACCTGGTCTGAAGTTCTGACGGGTGCGGGAAGGTACCTGCCTGCCTCCCTCCACCCACGATCACAGCACGCACCTACCTGCCAAAATGGCCGATGACGTAGTGCATCGAATTCCTGCCCCCTTCCTTCACGTCACCGTTACCATCGCCGAGTTCCACGACCAGACCAGACAGGACCACCTGGGGCACCCACAAACACCAATCTTTTGCTAGCAGGGCCACGGAAGGCACGCAGGGCAGGTACCTTGTAGCGGTTATCCGTAGACACAACTCATCCAAGGGGAGGAAGGAACCATTGTGAACCGGGCTGGAAGGACCAAGCTCCCACTGCACCTGCACCTGGCTTCTCCTAATTGGAAAGTACCGGGCCCGCCTCCTGCTGGCTAAATCACCGTAGTGAGGTGGACGAACGCCTGCCACGCGCGTTGCTTTGCCGCCTCCCTTCCAAATATTCGTTGGCCCAGTTTCATTCTGACGCAAGTTTTTTTTTTTTTTTCAATTCTTACCAGGTTCTGTTCCCTGGACACACGACGCCAGAAAGAAGGTATAAACACCTCCTCGCCTACAGTGCCCCCTTCTTACAGACCTCTTCCTCTTCTTCCTCATCGATACGATACCTCTTCCTGATTCACCCTTTTTTGAACAGGAACACAATCTTGGCGATTCTCATTATACCCAATTTCCCTGTGATACCCCCCTCCGAAATACCCAATACTACGAATTCCCTTTTTTGTCCTGTACGCCATTACCGATAATCACCCTACCTCATCTCAACACCGTACCCAAAAACAGATTTCAACAAGCAGTCTTCATTGCGCGATAGCTACGATACCCTCATCATGTCAGCAAACGTCAACAAGCCGACGGATCTCAAGCAGAAGGAGGCCGACGTCAACCGCAAGCTTCAGCTCTACGGCATCCTCTCCGCTTTCCAGGCTGGCAAGGTTCCTTCGGTACGTCGATGCCGGCATGGCGGCAAGGACCCACGCGGCCCCCGCCTGGCTGATCCCAGACCCGCAACCCTACATCATTGCATGATACTGACGTGGTCCTTCGCAACAGAATGACCAAATCGATGTTGCTCTGAACAGTTTCCTGGCCTCCAAGGCTCTCTCAAACCCTCCCGAGAAGCTCTCCCCCGAAGGCCGCGCACTGATTGCCGATGCGCGCGAAGTCGTCATCCAAGCCAAGAAGCTTCTGTTGTCCAAGAACCAGGGCAACCTGATTCAAGACTTCATCTGGCAGACTGAGCAATTCGACCCCAAGGCTGTGGACGTTCCTGGCGCTCCCGTCAACAAGGAGGTCGCTCAGCAGCATGGCGACAAGGCGCTAGAGGGTCTGCGGACCCTTGGAACTTTGCTCATCACCAACGGACAGTTCCGCAAGCTTCGTGAGTCAATCAGCGATGTCTGCCCAATTGGTCACAATCTAACATTATATAGTCAAGGATGCCACCGTCCTTCTCCGGGACATGGCTGGCGATGCCGCTACCAACGCTGCCCAGCGTGTCCGTCCCTCCGGCGAAGCCCTTCAGGACATCGACCGCCCTGCTGAGGACAACACGTGGCACGATGCCCCCGACTTCTCCAAGGAGAACTTCAAGAAGCAGGCACAGGGTGTCTACAAGGGCTCTCCTGCCGATGATGCTCGGGAGGTCCTCGCTGCAGGCACTCAGGCCGCTCACCCCAACGGATCGCAGAACCCCCATGACCTGGCCGCGACTGCCGCTCGCGATCAGCAGCAAGGTACCAACTCGGGTGTAAATGCCCAGGGTGGCATCAACGCTGCCCGCGATGTCATTCAGAAGAAGTACAACGAGAACGTCGATGGCGAGACCAAGGAGCAGGCACGTCAGCGCAAGGAGGAGTACCTTCGTCGTTCCAAGGAGTACTTCAACAAGAAGATGCCCCAGGAGCGCAAGGACCAGACCATCTGGCGTTTGAAGAAGATGGTGCTTGAGTGTCAGCAGCACCCCGATTATTCCCAGGCCATTGAGACTCTTCTCAACCTCGCCGAGGAGTACGCCGGCCACTCCCGCACTCTGGCACAGGGTGGAACTGGCACCGTCAAGGACACCCGTGCCGGTCTCGCTCAGGCCGAGTCTGATCTCAAGACGCTGCTCGAGCGCTTCGCCAACGGCACCTCGACCGAAGACTTCTTCGAGTCGATCAACCAGATCTACCGCGATGCTGACAACGATCGCGAGCTGAAGGACTGGTTCAAGGCTATGGACCGCTACGTCCGCCGCTGCCTTCTCGAGCAGGGATACATTCTGGACGAGGACTCCAACCAGGAATGGAACCACTTGTACGACCATGGTCGTTACTTGCTTCGCGAGAAATACCGCGCTCACACCGACCGTGTCTTTGACGAGATCAAGTTCTTGATTGACCAGTTTGATCAGGACCCTCTCAACAAGCGCTTCGGCTTGGCCGTCCAGAAGCTCTTCACCGATCTGGGCAATGACGAGAACGGCAAGCCTACCTTTAAGCCTCACTTGCTGAAGGATCTCTCGGAGGTCATCATTCCCGGCATCTTTGAGAACGTTGCCTACATCCCGGTCCCGCGCCTCGAGTACAGCGACCCTCAGTTCGATGCTGTCATTGAGAACCTTGTCCTCGAGTCTGACAACTTCATGCCTAACGTTCTCGAGATTAACAGCGAGAACTACTTCCTTTGGGGACGCAAGAAGATCGCCAACAAGCACAAGCAATCCTTTGAGGTGAAGGTTGCTGGTGTCCAGCTTGATCTTCGCGACGTCAGCTACCACGTCAAGCGCAAGCAGGGCTTCCCCTCTATCACCGACACTGGTGTCGCCGACATTCTTCTCGCTGGCGATGGCTTCTCTTTCAAAATGAAGCTCTCCTCTGCCGACAAGAACGACAGACAGAACTTCTTCAAGGTTGACAAGGTTGATGTTGACATCAAGCACATGAGCATCAAGCTGAAGCAGTCTAAGCACAAGCTTCTATTTGGTCTCTTCAAGCCCATCATGCTCAAGGTCCTTCGCCCTGCTCTTCAGAAGGCTGTCGAGAAGGCCATCAAGGACCAGGCCACTCAGCTCGACAGCATCATGTACCAGGTCAAGCAGGAAGCTGATCGTGCCCTTGATGAGGCTCGCTCTAACCCCGAGAACACTCCCAATATCTACAACCGGTATGCCACCGCTATGCAGAAGCGCGCTCTCCAGGCCAAGCAGAAGGCGGACGAGGTTACTGCCGACAAGAAGGTCAACTACGCCATTACCAAGGAGGATTCCATCTTCCCCAACATTCACCTGCCTGGAGGTATCAGCTCCAAGGCCACTGAGTACAAGGAGCTGGCTCGTAAGGGTGAGCGTTGGGAGAGCCCTGTCTTCGCCATTGGTAAGGCAAACAAGTCTACCGACATCCCCGATGCTCCTCGCATCGAGCGCAAGAAGCACGGCCTTCCCACCCAGCAGGGCCAGTATGCTCCTCACGCTCCCGGCCAGGTCAACGGTGGTGACTTGAACACCATCCCCACTTCCGACTACCCGACTTCTGGTTACCCTACCTCCAGCTATGACGCCCACCCCAACGGCGGTCTTAACGGCACCGTCAACACCCTTTCAACCCCTGCTCACGTCAGTGGATACTAAGTGTAGACCTTAATTCTTTTCCTTTGTGTCAGACATGGATCAAATGATGAGTTGATGGCAAACGAAAAGGCTTATACCCGGATGGAGAATTCAGTTTGGGTCAACAGACGGCGGAAGCTTAATGATGCAGTCCCTTAGTAATAATTCTTCTTTAGTTCAATTGCAATGGTTTCAATCAGGATCCTATAATATTCTTGCCTACCTATTTGACGTGAATCATTGCGCACTCTACATTGTGGAACTTGTGCAAGTGCTCAATGGTCTGGACGTCGCAATTCGTACATCTCATTTAACCCAGCCAAATTTAAAGCGACGTCCAACCCATGTCAGTCGGCACAAGCGCGCCGTTGATGGTGTTCATCCCACCAGAACACAAGCTCACCACAGTCTTTGATACCTGATCCAGCGGCGACCATCCTAAATCCCAACCGCCCTTGGCAGGATCACCTTGGCAGGTGTTGAAAGTCGACACCACTGATGGGCGAGGTTTCGTTAGCAATCAGACACATGGTAGTATACGAGTGCTCGCTGGGAGATGGTGTCTTACCCATGGCGAGGCCTTCGGGGTGGAACTCTTTGATGTGTTCCTCATCCCTGGCCATGTTCGTCATCATGGGACCGGGCATGATGGCCAGGCACCGGATGCCTTTGGGGCCGTAAAAGGCTGCTGTGCTTCGCGTCAGGCCGACTGTGCCGTGTTTGGAGGCCGTGTACGCGACGCCTTTGTTGTGGTTTTGGTGGTCAGCTCAAGATTCTATTTCATGCAGATTCCCATATTGTCTCGTGACCCGTTTCTTTCAGAAGGTGAATTCTTCGCCCCCATTCAATGATCATATGGTGGTTGGGGTGAGATAGAATGACATAAGAGGAGATGGAATGAGATGATGATGAGATTTGAAGGATGGTTCGAACTCACCTGCTCTCGCGCCGTGCACTCCCGCGGCACTAATAACATTCAAAATCACACCCCTCTGCCCGTCCACGGGCTCCTGCTTCAAGAACTGCTGGATCGCGCGCTGCGAGGTGACGAAGCTGCCCGTCATGTTGACAAGGATCTGGCGGTCCCACATGGCTATGGGACAGTCGGCCGTGGGGTGCATCAGGTCCGAGATGCCGGCGTTGTTGACGAGGACGTCGAGGCGTCGTTTACCTTTGTCCACTGCACTGTCTTCTCCCCCGTCAATCCAAGAAGAGATTGCGGCGGAGACGGAGGCCGGGTCGGTGATGTCTGCTCTCACGTGGTGCAGACGAGCACGGAGGTCCGGGGCGTCGTCGAATTTGGAGGTGAGAGAGGCGAGGGAGGCGTCGGAGATGTCGAGGGCTAGGACTGTTGCGTTTGCGGCGAGGAAGTGGCGGGTTAGGGAGAGGCCTAGGCCCGAGGCTGCGCCTGTGATGAGGACTGTTTTTGAGGTGTAGTCTGTGGACATGGTTTCTGTCGGGTGAGAGTTGGCGATGTATGGGTGTTTGACGAGTTCTTTCACGTGCATGGGGTTCAAGAAGAGCAGGTTCAAAAAGAGCGAACTCGAGAAGAGCAAAATGAGTGCAAGTAGTTTCTATTGACATTATATACACGAGCTGTGGATTCCGTTAGGTTCTCGGTTTTGGTGGACTTTGACGAGTGAAGTGAAGGAGACTGAATGCCTCTGAGCATGAAGCATCGATATCCGACCTGCATCACAAAGAGAATCCGATACCGAGAACGACGGGAGCGTACGACGACGCGGGAAGACAAGTTGACTGGCTGGATGTCTGCTACTTATTGTATGCCAATGCTGTATCAGCAGGAACATATGCACAACCGGCAGCAATGCAACCAACCTTTTGATCCAGGACGTGGTTCAGCGGGATGTTGATGGTCCCCGAATCCAACCTCCGCATCGCGCGCATCGCACTGCTCGGATTCAGAGTCGCTGATGGGTTACTCCGATGCGTAGGTTGGAGCACTCCATACAGAGTTGAAAGACAGGGTTTGGTGGTCTGGGAAATCATCAGACGTACACAGAAGACCCTTATTGGGGGACGACGAAGCGGGACGGGGAACGGAAATGACTTCGTAGTAATCCTTCCCCGCATTATCCATGCATACACGAATTCCGGGGAGCACGGGAGAGCTACGTACGGGAGGGAGGATTGTTGATTGGGTGTAAATACACGTATTCGATGTAACCTCGGTACACAAGGGGAACCTCCGCGACGGGAGCAATATCAAGTTCAAGACAATCTTAACGTGACTTCAATTGCAAGTCTGCTTTGCATACAATTACAGGTATCCTTCTACCCCAACGTCATCTTCATTTCCGTCAAACGAGTCTTACTCAATTGCTCGCCTGCAGCTGGTTCGGATCCGTCTGCTTGCTCTTTATCCCCGCCAACCCCGTCTGCCGGTTTGCATCCCGTCCCGTCGTGTTCTCCAGATTCCGCTCGCTCGAGGGTTTAGGACCCAGGCCGGGCGTGATGGACGGCCCGCCGCCGCGAGTGACGGAGTCCGCGACGCCTGCTGCGCGGTCTGGGGCGCCGGTCAGGAAGGCGAAGGTGCCGCCCAGGGCTGCGGCGGCGCCGAGGACGAGGTAGAGTGCACTTCTACGAGACCGGTCGCGTTAGTTGTATGGACACCAAAGAATGACTTGAAGCTGTGATGAAGGGCGGAAAAGAGTGAAGGCTTGCCTGTTGCTGATTTCATCTGGCTTGGTTCCCACCTTGGGGTTTGATGGGGACGGAGCCGGGCGGGACGGTGCTGAACCGGACGGGTTTATGGGGTTTGGTGCTGGGGGCTCCTTGACGGCATAGCCCCGGCGGGTTGCGAGTTGTGCGGAGGTGCCGAGGATGGGGTTTCGGAGGGCCGATTGAAGGCGGAGAGCTCTTGATGATGACATGATTGGTTATGTGTGTTTTTAATCGTGTGTTGCCAATTGGATGTTGGTTCTTATCGCGAGATGTATAGGTGTTTTGGGGATTCTTTTGGTTCTTTCCAGTTCTTTCCAATGGACAGCTGCGAGGATCAGTGAACACTTATGTTGGTTGTGTGGTTTTGCATCCCTTAGACGGCAATGTGGATTTGCGGTGTTATATGACCGTGGCGCGACATGGCGTTTTGGAGGTGCTCGGTTATGACGAGCGATGATGTCGATGATGCACCTTTCCGGGGCCCCTTTGTAAGGACGTAGGTGCATCCATCTCACTGCCAGCATCAGACAGTTTCAAGGCTCGTGTGATTCTACGGTCCAGGCACACCTCAGGCACAGATCTTTCCATTCCAACGCAGGAACTCGTCCAATGATGCATCAGGCTAGGTCGATGATTCATCAATGTTTAATGATGTACCTTGCGGGTGGGGAAATCAACATGTTAGCCCCTGGCAAGATCTGCAGTAGCCTAAGACCCTGAGCTGTCGCGGAATCAGCCGTCTGCTCTCGACTTCCTCTGCCCTCTGTGATCCATTGATCAGAAATCAGTGCTAGGTATTACACAGTAGGGAGGTAGGCAGTATACCCAAATACACCCAACCCATCTAGACATGAACTTGTCCCATGCTCTCTGTCGGGCACACCCGCCCACCCACGTCTACCGGTTCCTTAACGCCGCGTGAATCCCGTTATACGTCCAGTTCAACCTCATCCGATCAAGCTGCGCCTGCGCCGACATATCCGTCACGTGCCTCGAGTTCTGCTGCACTTGCGACGCGCGCGGCCTGCGCACCGAGTCCCACGTTCGCAGCGCCAACGTGATGCTCTCCAGGTCATCGGCGCGGACACTCTCATGGAGAAGCAGCCGTAATCCTTCGGCGTCCTCGATAGCCTGTGTCGCGCCTTGGCCCTGGAACGGCGTCATCGGGTGCGCTGCGTCGCCGACGAGGACGGCGCAGCCGCGGGTGTAGGTTGGGAGCGGGTCTGCGTCTTTGACCTTGTAGAGGTGGATGTTTTGAGCGTTTCTTGAGGTGCTTGGTGTGAGCGACTCTCGTTTCATGTTTCTGATTGATTGTGAGGTGACGATGGAGGGACAAGACTTACTTCATAATCGCCAGCATCCACGGCGCAAAGTCGAAAAAGTGATCCAGCATCTCCTCCGCGCTCCCCTCGGCGTTCCAAGACGTGATGCTCTCCACCGAGAGCATGGCGTCGGGGATCCTCGCCACGACGTTGAGTAGCGTCATGTCACGGCAGGGATAAAAGATGATGTTGCGGTGCGTCTCGTCGTCGGCCGTCATCATGTTGAGAAAGTTGCTGTTGGACGGGTCTATCGCCGCCGGGTACCCTCCCAGGATATCTCTCGCCTTCTCAAGCGGGAACGTGAACCGGTAGAGTGAGGCACCCGGTGATACCATGTGAGATGGCCCGCCGAGGACAGCTTGTCGGACGAGGGAGTGAATGCCATCTGCGCCTAAGCATGTCCGTCAATTCCTGGATACCTGTGCAACAAGTCTGATATGGTTCCATGCATATGTGTAGTCTTACCAACAATCACATCGGCTGTTACCTCCTCCCCATTCTTCAACTTCACCTTCCCCTCCTCAACATCAACACCGACAACCTGAACCCCCTCCACAACCGTAGCCGGCGGTCCCGAAATCCCCAACTTGGCCGCGTCCCCCGTCGCGAGCCTCAACAGCTCGTCCCGCAAATCGCCGCGGTGCATCAGCAGCCACTCGCTCCCAAACGGCTCCGATACGCCCGTCATCTCCCGTAACAGATTCCCTTGCTTATCGTACGTCCTCGAGCCGGCGCAGATCGTGGCCTTGACGTCTTCGGGGCTGAATTGAAAGGCCTTTTTGAGCATCTTCGTGCCGTTGGGACCAAGGCCGATGCCGGCGCCGCGTTCCGGGGCGGAGGAGGAGGAGGAGGATGAGGTCGGATCGTCGCGGTCGTAGACTGTCACGTCGTGTTTTTGACGGAGGACGGCGGCGGCGGAGAGGCCTGCTATGCCGCCGCCTATGACTATAACTCGTAGCTTGTTGCTTGTCATTATATCTGTCTCCCTTCTGTTTTATCTGATTTCACTGGGTGGCATCGCGCTCTGGACGCGACGTTGAGAGGTTAACATGTGAGATTACATGACTACAGCTGAACAGAGAAGTTCAATTGTCACCGCGGAATTCTATTCCTAATACAGTCGGCTTAGGTAGGAAACCTCTTTCCTGAGCAAACTTTGGCAGAGTTTTACTTGCTGAGACATCAAACGAAATTCTATTCATAGTTGCCGTTTCCTAGCCTGATGTTTGCCTAGAGGGATGACAAAGGTTATTGAGGAATTGCGGTGCTCGAACTTGGCAAGAAAACTCAAATGGGACCTGAGTTTGGCTCGGGGAGCGAATGAAATATAAGCCCGATGAGGCCCTTGTTGTTCCATACGCGCAAGGTCCCTGTCGTGTTTCTTGTCGTTGAAATGAGGGGAACCTCGGATCCGGGTAGCCCAGAGCTGGTGATGTCAGTTTGTGGTCTGAGTGATGCTAGTGGTACGCTGTATCAGGGATCATATTCCGCCCGATCGGGAGCCGGCGCGGGATAAACGTGTGCCGTCTGGGGGAGTTCGATCTCCGGCTCTTTATTTTTGGGTAACAAGAAATCGACCGCTGAACTTAATGATGGATGTTCTGGGATTTGAGAAATATTTAGAGTTGCAGCATACTCTTTGTCACGTGTTCTTAGACAATTTCAATGTCAACAAACAAGAAAGAGATGTTGCCTTCTTACCTAAAAGAATATGAAGAGAGAGGTCAAATGCTTAGACATCAAGGTTCTCGAAGAAACGGCCACAACAGTAAACCGGACACCTTTCCCCCCGCCTCGGGCCGTCTTAGAAGACCCACTTTCGCGCTCCGACTCGGCGTTCGTCGGAGGGCGAGGCCCACAGCGCACCATGCCAGTCAGAGAAGAAGGTCGTCTCGGCCCCGGTTTTGGGCGTATTGAAGGAACATGCGCCGCAGGATTGGTCATCTTTCCTCAGTAGCTTCCCAACGCCGCATGCTGCATTCTCGCAAGCGTCACCACTCCGATCCTCCCTAGCTAGATCGGTACCTTCTTAGCCGCGGACTTTTCTATCGGGCGCATCATGATGATTGTGAAACTCCGCTGCCTCGTGGAGAATGCATGTATTTGACGTGAGTTGATATCTCGATTTTCGAAGGTGTAGTTTCTGTGTATCACTCAACTACTGTATCAACACTCAAACATCTAAACAATCAATCTCACAATAATAACATCGACAATGGCACGAGCAATTCTGGTTTGCGGCGCGACTGGAAAGCAGGGCGGCGCAGTCATCAACCACCTCGTCGAACAGAATGCCGACTTTGAGATCCTCGCCGTCACCCGCGACGCAACCTCCGGATCCGCCCAGCGTCTCTTGAAAAAGTCGTCCAAAGTTCATCTCGTCCAGGGTAACTTGGCCGACCCGACTGCCCTTTTCAAGACTGCGCAAGATGTTGCCTCGTCTCCTATCTGGGGAGTCTTCAGTGTCCAGGTACCTACAAAACTCCCACCTTTTGATAGCGAACAATACGTTTCTGTTGTGTGCACAAACTTGGCTGACATTGATGTGCATTCCAGGTCCCAATGGGCTTCGGCCAAGGTGGAGGCGGCGAACTAGGCCAAGGCAAAGCCCTCGTCGACGCATCCCTCAAAGCAGGCGTCAAATTCTTCGTCTACACCTCCGTCGAGCGTCACGGCGCAGACAACGCGACGAATGTGCCTCACTTCGCCCACAAGCACGAGATCGAGCAGCACCTCTTCAACAAGTCCAAGGGCACCGACATGGAGTGGGCCGTCCTCCGCCCCGTGGCTTTCATGGACAACCTCACGGACAACCTCTTTGGGAGGGTTTTCACCACCTCGTGGCGCATGGCGGTCAAAGGGAAGCCGCTGCAGCTTATTGCTGTCAGCGACATTGGCTACTTTGGCGCCGAGGCGTTTCTTCACCCTGAGAAGTACAAGGGCCGCGGGGTCTCGCTTGCGGGCGACGATTTGACGATTGAGCAGTTTGCTGCGGTGTTCAAGAGGAATACGGGCAAGGAGCTGCCTGGGACGTATAGGGTCTTGTGTTGGCTGATCATGACGATGGTGAAGGACTTTGGGTACATGTTCAAGTGGTTCCACGATGTTGGGTATGATGTTGACATTGCGGCGCTGAGAAAGGAGTATCCTGGGCTGAAGGACTTTGAGACTTGGCTGAAGGCGGAGAGCGAGTACGCAGGTAGTATTCGGTCTTGAGGAGGGCGTTTGGAATCACGTCACAGATGCGTCCTGGGTAGAAGAAAGCAAGAGCCATTGTAGTAATACGGCTTATATTGTAATAATCGAAGAGAAATGGTCTATATGGAATTTCAACGATGAAGCATGTGTCAAGCTTGACGGTTCAAAAGGTAGCATCGGCTCTCTTAACAAACCTAATTATCGTCTTTTATTTATTTGCAATCATATTCAAAGTTATGTTTAATGCTCAAGAAGGATGTTTGATGCTCAAGAAAGAAGAAACTATATTTCTTACACATTGTGAAAATTTCCGAAACTGAACAAAAAGATTCGCCCCAGACGAGACGTAATTGGACCATGCCCTTTGATATCCAGTTAACGAATCTACTTATACTAAGGTAAGTGATTCGTGAGCCCTGCTTGAAGGATAGAGGAAGGATCTAGATAGCGGTACTCCTATCAAGCGCACTTGTTCAAGAGATCGAGGAAGTGGAATCGAAGAGAAGACTTGCAAATAGAATCAGGATATTGATAGTCAAGCTTCTAACGTAGGGCGTATCCACACCCACTTGGCACCGGTCTCCGACGAAGGCCGACTCGCACTCAATGTAGCCTTGGCAAGAGTAACTTCGTCTCTATCCCCGAAGATGTACGTGTACCTCAACTTCCACGTCATTGTTTCTTGCTTA